ATGAGTCTTGATTGGACTAAAATGATATCAGAGATTATGAGATGGGGGGTTCCTAAAATAGGGTACCCCCAAATTATTCATGTTAGTAGGATTTTCCCTTATAAACCATCCAGCTATTGGGGGTCCCCCATGACTATGGAAACCTGCAGATGTTCCAGTGGCCATGGCTCAAGTCACGTGGGGTGGACTTGTTGCTGGTCGATCACCGGATTACTCCGGCAAAAAAAATCCCACAGATGTTGGGTTTCCCCACCATTTCTATTTCACAGGGAAACCATGGGTTTCCTACGTCTATGTTACGTGTTAGTTTACAGCGGATAGTAAACCATTCACTCTTTTTTGCTTCGGATTAAATAATGACATGTACAGACCATACCATATGCCAAAACGATGGTGATCATACTGTACCCTCTGGTAATTTAACATAACTATTGAAATTTGCCATAGAAATAGTTGATTTACCGATTAAAAATGGTGATTTTCCAGTTCGCTATGTCAATTTACCAGAGGGTACCCCATTTGGCTGTGGATCAATACCTATCTCGGGTTGCTTCGTACGTTGCCACTGCCATGGTGCCACTGCAAGCGTCATGGCACCCGATTCCATGGTCCCAAGTATGTGGTGTCATTCTTCTTTCCATTGTTTCTGGGGGATGATTGAAACAGGGGAAGGGACCATGCGCTATATATAACGTATATAATATATATAATATATATAATATATATACAATATACAATATATACATAATATATAATATATAATATATATTATATATACAATATAATATATACATAATCTATAATATATACAATAAATATAATATATATATATATATTATATTATATATTATATATATTATATATTATATATATTATATATATTATATATATTATATATATTATATATATTATATATTATATATATTATATATATAATATTTAATATATAATATATATATAATATTTACTATATAATATATATAATATATATAATATATATAATATATATAATATATAATATAATATATATATATATTATTTATTGTATATAATATATATTATATATATATTATATATATTATATAGATTATATATATTATATATATTATATATATAATATTTAATATATAATATATATATATAATATTTAATATATAATATATATAATATATATAATATATATAATATATATAATATATATAATATATATAATATATATAATATATATAATATATATAATATATAATATATATAATATATATATATAATATATATAATATATATAATATATATAATATATACAATATATAATATATATAATATATAAAATATATATAATATATAATATATATATAATATATAATATATATAATATATAATATATATATAATATATAATATATATATAATATATAATATATATAATATATATAATATATTATATATAATATATATAATATATATATAATATATATATAATATATTATATATATAATATATATATAATATATATAATATATATAATATAAATAATATAAATAATATTTAATATATATAATATAAATAATATAATATATTAAATAATATATATAATATATTTTATATAATGTAAATATTATAATATTTATAATAATATATATAATATAATATATATATAATATCTAATGTATATAATATCTTATGTATATAATATAATATATATTTAATATATACGTATAATATAATATTTTTAATGTAATATAGAATAACATACATATATATATATACATACATGCATATCTAGTAATTTAACAGCTTGCAATGGAAAACTTTCCATGAAAGTTTATAGATGAATTTCATTGATTTTCCTATGACATGGGCATTTTCCAGGGGGTATACTTTTTGACATGAACTGTATCATTTGTAAACATGCATATGAGAATGGATTATATGACTGAGAATAGTAAATATATTATGACTTCGCATGTACCCTCCGGTAGTTTAACATAACTATTGAAAATGGTTCGTTAACATTTGATTTACCTATTCCAAATGGTGATTTTCCAGTTCGCTATGTTAGTTTACCAGAGGGTAAATCATCCATTACTCAGAGTTGAACCATTTTTTTTGGGTGGATGCAAGGAGATGATTTCTATGGGAACGTTTATGTTCGAAAGCTCCTGCGTTGTTTTTTCTTCCAAGTTGCTGCCAAATTCAACTTTTCACTTCATCTACAAAACATCTCCTACTTTTTTATATCAACTCAATCATCATCTACATCAACGTCATCTACATCATATACATCATAGACATCAACTTCAATCATCGACTTCATCTACATCGCATACATCATCTATACATCAGTTGCATCATCTACACCAACTTCCATCTACATCACATACATGATCTATCTATATACATCATTTACACAGCAGTTCTTGCACAGGAGTTGGCACACAGGAGTTGCACAAGAGTTCTTGACAGGAGTTGTTACACAGTTGTTATACAGGAGTTAGCTTCTAGGTGGTCTACTTGCATCTGAAGTCTCCATCGTTTTACGTGACTCTCTGCAGAGATCGCGCGTGCAAACGTGCGGTGAAATGCAAATTTGCCTTGGGGATGAACAACCCTCTGCGGAGATCGTGCGTGTCGACGCACGCACGTGCGGTGAAATGCGAGTTTTTCATATGGTGTGTCTTAAGTAATTATTGAGGTCCTTCCATGTTCTTAGTGTGAGACGTCCGTGCTGCTGCTGTGGCTAGTTTTATAAGCACATTGGCGCCCAAAATAATGCTGTAGAGCACGCCAGGAAAGGGTAGGGCTAGCTAGCCAGCTCCCGTGATCATCACACATTCATGCCGCAACTGCCATGGCAACAATGGCAACAACTCATGGTGTCATTCTACGAGGCTTCAACATGCCACAGCATTTGCAACATAGCAAAAAATGATTACTGATTGGTGGTTTGGAACATGACTTTTATTTTCCATAATATATGGGATGTCATCCTTCCCATTGACTTTCATCTTTTTCAGAGGAGTTGAAACCACCAAGGACAGCTGAAGATTCTCTCAGCAACCCTCTGTTCCGTGTTGGACGTCACCCTTTCGCAATGAGGATCGAATGTCAAGAACCGATGGTAAAATTGCAAAATTTGCAATTTCAGATGCAACCTTTTCGCACGAAATGAAGGTCGCACTTCCAAAAATGGTGTAAAATTTTGATTCTGGAGCTTCAGATGTAACCTTTTCGCAAGAAATGAAGGTCGAACTACGTCAAAAACTGGTGTAAAATATTGAAAAGGCCCGCTGTGCAAAAACTTCTCTGTGTAAAAGTTTCTGTGCATAAGCACATCTGTGTGTAAAGGGTCCTGTGTGTAAAACTTCTCTGTCTAAAAGTTTCTGTGTGTAAAAGCTTCTGTGTGTAAACGCATCTGTGTGTAAAGCTCCTCTGTGCAAAGACTTCTCTGTGCAAATGCTTCTGTGTGTAAAGTTTTCTCTGTGTAAAAACTTCGGTGTGTAAAACTTCTGCGTGTAGAGGCATCGATGTGCCATCGTCCGTTTGTGTAAATAAACACTTCCCTATGTCAAAGTTTCTGTCTGTAAAAACCTCTTCTGCAAAGGGTGTTCTGTGTAAAGGCTCCTCTGTGTAAAGACTTCTGTGTGAAAAGTCTTCTCTGTGTAAAGACCCCTCCGTGTAAAGACTTCTCTGCGTAAAAACTTTTGTGTGTAACTGTTTCTGCGTGTAAAACTTTTGTGTGTATATGCCCTCTGTGTAAAGACTTCTCTGTGCAAAAACGAAAAACTTCTGTGTGTAAAAACACCTGTCTGCAAAAAGGTTGTATGTGTAAAGGCTCGTCAGTGTAACAGTTCTGTGTTTACAAGTTTCTGTGTAAAAACTTCTGTATGTAAAAACTCCTCTGTGTAAAACTTATCTGTGTAAACGTTTCTGTGTGTAAAAGTTCCTCTTTGTAAAAAAAACAAAAAATCTGTGTGTCTGTGTGTAAAAACATATTTTGTGCAAAGACTCCTCTGTGTAAAAGCCTCTGTTTGTAAAAGGTGTTTTGTGTAAAGGCTTCTCTGTGTAGAAAAAACCTGTGTAAAAGTTTCTGTGTGTAAACACTCCCATGTGTACAAACTTCGGTGTGTAATTTTGTTTCTGGGTAAAGACTCCTTTGTGTAAAAGGTTTCTGGGTGTAAAAATGTTTCTACAGATTCATTTTACATTTAATCATTTTACATCAGTTTACATCATTTTTACCCCATCCAAATTATTTATATATACACAGTTTCGTTTCTACTCCTTATACCTTCATTAGTCACTATGCAGCAACAACTTCATTCATCGTTCATTATTTTTAATCATCATTCATCACCCCGCATCTTTGTGTCTTCTTTTCCATCTTCTTTTGATCTGCTCCCTCCCTCCCGTTCTTCTTTCGGGCCACGCTGTCGTCTAGTTCTTTCCCATGATGATGACCTCTGAAGTCAGCAAGTGGTTGGTATTATAGAATTACTGCCAATCTTTACCCCATGATGTCCAGGTTTCAAATTGTTCTACTTATTTTGCGGTCGCTAAAGCACATTCAAACCTAAGACCATGTCCGAACTTGAGATACCTACGCAGTACGTGGCGAGAAAGATCCGGTACAGATGGTGCTTTGACTTGGGTTTGATTGACCTTGTGATACAATACTACTGTATCAATTCAGAACTTTGTTTGAACCCCCAGCCCCCAAATTTAGCATTAGAACCTCGCGGAGGGCCATATTTATGGCCATCTCCAATCAACAAATCATCTTCCGCAACTGCTTGACCTGCATCCTTTTCTGCAGCTATTTAATAGACTTCAAAGTCAAGCATCCAGCCAGAATGTTTCAAAGGTCAGTTCAAGGGCAGAAATCATGCACCTGGAACACTCTTGAAGGGCAGGTGGAACATGGATGAAAAAATGATTGCTATATGGACCCCCTCCTAACAGCCCCATAGATTCTACCATTGATGTGCTTTCATCCCATGTGACAGCTGCACCTTTGCACTCGCCATGGCATGTCCGCCAGTCATTGTTGCTGCACAGCAGTCACTAAACAAAAACATGGTTTTGTCTATAGACATGTTGGGTATACCTCATATTTGTATGGGGATGTTTGGGGCATGGTCTATTCAGGATTGTTCCCCCTCAAACTCGTGATCAAGATTGTTTCCCCTCCCAACGTATTTGTTTTTAGAATTCTTCCCAATCACACCAGACACACCAAGGCGCACAAGGGTTTTTCGCCAGATTTTCATGGATATTTTATGGTTTGGTGAACAACCCTACCGCAGAAACTTCTGACAACTTTCCCATGGGGGAACTCATTGGTGATTCCAAGATGGTGCGCAACTAAAGACTCCTTGGTGTTACCCTCTGGTTATCCAACATTGCCATGGAAAATCAACAGTTTTAATAGGTAAACCATCTATTTCTATGGGCCATTTTCCATGGTTATGTTAAATAGCCAGATGGTAAATCCGAAAACAATTGGTCCATAACTGGACGCAATCACAACTATATATATATATACATACAGGATTTGCACAGTTTTTTCACTAGTGTTTCCGTGAATTTTTAACGGAAATAGGGTTCCCGCAAATGGACCTAAATTTCAGGGCCGGGATCTACTATACAGGGTCGGGACCTCAAAAATGGGACCGCACATGTCACCATGTAGGTGAAACATTCGATCCTCTGGGAATGTTACTGTCTTTCATTGATTTGAAACTGTTGATCTGGTTGGTGGTTTGGAACACTGCATGTCTTTTGGACAAGGTTTTGGCGAGAAGCGGTACTGGGGGAATTTATGTTGAGCCACGGAGTGCAGATGGGAGGTCGGTGCTTTCCAATTTCATGGTCATTTGGGCTGGTAAACACACCCTTAAGGACTTACTACACATGCGGCAGACGAACCCAGCAGTCGCCGGTCTGGCGAGGGTAGGTGAGCGCAGGGGTCTGCGAGTGGCAGCCTCCCAGGCTCAGGAAATCCATCAGATGGTCAAGCCTGACACCCTTTTCTTGCCACAGGGTGACCGTGTGCAGTACTTGGCTGGCCCGTTTCCTTTTGGCACAGATCGACAAGGCATCTCAAAGGCGATGAGACAAGCAGGATGGAACTGCAAGCCATTGCAGCCATCCACACCGCAGCCAGGTCGGGGGGTCATGTGGGTTGTGATTGCTGTTGAGGAACCACCCCAACCCATTGTTTGGACAACCCATGGAGAGATCTTGATCTCTAAGCACAAAATGGATAGCCAAGCCAAGCAGGATGTGATTCAGCCGATTGCCTCTGCTTCAACTCTTGCCCTGTGTGGAAGTGGCCCTGCTCCTTGCAAGGAAGATCCCTGGTCCAAAGGTGACCCTTGGGGAGGCTACAAACCTGCCAGTTCTGCCAATGCGCCCACTGCATCCGCAAGCATGCGCCAAATGGAAGATAGGATCCAGAATGCAGTTTTGTCTACACTGAACACCAACATGGTGCAGGATGACATTCCGGATAGGATCCAAGTGCTTGAGGGGCAGATGAAGCAATTGTGCCAGAAGCAGGGCATGATGGAACATCAGTTTTCGGAATTCACTGGGCAACAATCCCAGCAGGTTGCTTCCCTCCAGCAACAGTTGAATGCCCAGGGCCAGCAATTGCATGGTCAGATCGAGTCGCAAAACCAAAGCATCCAAGCCATGTTCGAGAACCAGTTGGCCCATATCCGTGGTCTCCTCACCAAAAGACCTCGGGAAGATGGCGAGTGACAAATGGGGCGTGGGTATTGGCTTGTCCTAGCCATGTTGATGTTGGTGCTGCATGGTATTGCCATTGCCCTGGTGCCCTTTTTCCACTGTTTGTTTCCGGGTTTACGGGCTGTGTGCCCCACATCTCCACGATGTGCATTTTGTTCCAGATTTGTGATTTTGCTTTTGACATTTTGCAGTGTTGCGCGGATTGGGGAAGCCAAGAATCCAGGCCCTGATCCGTTTATTTTGGGGATAGCCAATCCATCCGGGTTGCGACACAAGGCGCCGTACGTTTCTACACACATGGCTCATGGGGACATTTGGGCCTTCTCAGAGACACATTTGACCGCTAAAGATGTTGCTGCTTTTGATGCGGGCCTTCGATTTGCTGGAGCCCCTTTCTCACGCTTGATTGGGGGTCATCCTGTGCCAGACAAACAACGGAGTGCTGGAAGCTCGTGGAGGGGAGTTGGAATTCTCTCCAAACATCCTACCAGACGGCTCCCTCATGATTGGTGTGATGAAATTGCCCTCTCTTCAAGAATTGTGGCCACCACTACTTTGGTTGATGATGTGTGGATTTCTGGTTGTGCTGTATATGCTGAGCCTGACAGCCATCTGTATCCGAGTCGGTTGCAACACACAGAGGCATTGCTGCAGGCTGCTATCGCCCGGATTGGGGTATTGGGAACTGGTCCTCGATACATAGCGGGAGATTGGAACGTTGCAAAATATGGGGTGCCTGCTTTCCATACACTGGAACAGCTCGGATTTCGTGAGATCCAAGACCTTGCACTGGAAAGATGGGCTATTCCCATCCAACCCACTTCAAAATCAGCCACTCAGCGTGATTACTGTTTCATTTCTCCAGAATTGCAAGAGCTGTTACAAGATGTATCAGTTCACCAAGATGTTTGGCCAGACCATGCGGTAGTGCAAGGCCACTTTGGCCGCCTCTGCAATTTTGCTCCGCGTGATTTTTGGTCCACCCCTCAACAGTTCCCATGGCCTTCTTCGTGGGAGGTCGACAGTAGCCTTTGGGGTAGTGCCGGTGGAACTCCTTCTGAGAAATATCAAGCTGTTTGGGCCCACATTGAGAAAAGTGCTGCAGATCATTTGCCCTTTGTGCCAACCAAGAAAGCTTTTGGTAGAGCTGCCACTTTTGGTACCAGGAAGATCAAAGTAGGAAGCATTGCCCCTGTTCGGTTGGCTCGTCGTGGTGATTTTCAACCCCATTTTGTTGGTGCATCCTTTCGGCACGCTCAATGGACTCGACAGACTCGTCGGTTACAAGCATTTGCGAGGTCGGTCAACAGTCAATGTGCCAGTCCATATGCTTGTCAAGTATGGGGTGCCATCTTGCGTGCCCCTGGATTTACTCCTGATTTTGCCACATGGTGGTGCAATTTGGTCACAAAGAGCTATGGAGCCCCTGAAACTTTGCCTGCTTTGCCTCCTTTAGGCTCCACAGCGAAAGCCATTTTTGAAACAATGTCTCTTGCAGTGCGTGAACTTGAGATTGAGCTGATGAAGTCCTCAAGACAGTATTCGAGGCTTCGTAGGCTTCAAAATCCTAACCAAATTTTCCAAGATGTCAAAAAGCCTGCCAGCCCTGGGGTTGACCTTTTTGTGAAAGCCCTGCGATCAAGAGTTGTGGAAGTTGACCATGACACCTGTGCCATTGTGCTTGAACCTAGCCAAAACTGGCAACAAGATAGGCCGTTCTTTTGCGGGGATGTTCCCCTTGATGTCATTCATGCTGAGCCTGACTGTCTGTGGCTGCAGAGTTTGGATGCGGTTTGTGAAGGGGTGATGATTTCCCAGACAAGATGTAGTGGTACTAAGGACGAGCTTGCCTTGGCTTTCATGAATGCTTGGAGTGAGAAGTGGGAACGCCACAAAGATGTTCCGCATGATCGATGGAATCAAATCTTGAAGTTTGCCCGAGATCGGCTGCCAAGACTTCGCATGTGTTGGCCTTCACTTGACCCAATCAATTTGTCCAGATGCATTGAGGGGAAAAAGAAAACCTCAGGGGGCCTTGATGGTGTGAGCCTTCATGATTTGAAGTGTATGCCACTGTCCGCCCTCAAAATCTTCTGTGACATGTTTGCTGAAGCCGAATTGACAGAAGCTGGCCCATTCAGTTGTTGGAAGGCAGAGTGGCTTGTGTAGCTAAATGCCCGGAGCCGTCTGATGTAATGGACTTCCGTCCGATTTCTATATTGGGCCTGCTGTATCGGGTTTGGGGTACACATCACGCACGTAGAGCCATCAGGGCTCTTGAACCTGCTTTGCCAGATACGCTTTATGGTAGTAGACCAGCCCATTTTGCAGGACAGGTTTGGTCGCAGTTGTTATGGGTTATAGAGGACTCACATGCCAGAGACATTCCCCTTGCAGGATTGGTTGCTGACCTCCAAAAAGCCTTTAACCTGTTGCCACGGCTTGTGGTGTTTGAATCTGCTGCATTGCTGGGGATCCCGCTCAATGTTCTCACCGCTTGGGCTGGTGCAGTTTCTGATCTTAGGCGCAGGTTCCAAATTCGTGATGGCTTGACTGGGCCTGCACTGAGCTCTACAGGTTTTGCCGAGGGAGATGCACTGTCCTGTGTTGCCATGTTGATTGTTGACATTCTTTTCCATCTGTGGTATTCATGTTATTTCCCATTGTGCCAGCCCATAAGCTATGTTGATGATTGGCAGGTCCTCACCACCAATCCGGCCAGCATGACTGACACATATAGGTGTATGACTGAATTCACTGATGCCATGGACCTCCTGATTGACCCTCGTAAAACTTTCACTTGGTTGACAACCGCTGCTGGACGTACCTCTCTCAGGGAACAGGGTTTTTCAACTGTGAATAGCTGTAGGTCTTTAGGGGCCCATGTTCAGATCACCAGACAGCACACAAATGCAACCCAGGTTGAGCGTGTCTGTTCATTGAATGATTTGTGGCCTAGACTCCGTCTTTCTGCGAGTCCGTACAAGCAAAAGATCAGAGCTATCAAGCAAGCGGCTTGGCCAAAAGGCCTCCACGCCATTGCTGGCACCACCATTGGGGCCAATCACTTCCAGAGCTTGCGTGCTGGAGCCGTCAAAGGACTGCGGGCTGATTCCGCTGGATGCAATGCACATCTTCATTTGCTCACTGAATGCTGCCTGGATCCTCAAGAGTGGGCCATTTGGCATACCTTGCGTTTTGTCCGTGAATGTGGCATTGAACAAGTTGTTGTGGATGCACTCAGTGATTTGTGTCATGGTAGTTCAAAACTCCCGACCAACGGTATCTCTGCGACCCTTTTGAGCAGGATCCAAACGCTTGCATGGCATGTTGATTCTAGTGGTAACATTGAGGACGAGCTGGGCACTTTCTCATTGTTTGATGTGGCACCTGAGGAGCTGTTGTGGCGTGTTGATTGGGCCTGGGCAAAGGTGGTTGCCGCTGAGGTTGCACACAGACCTGGTCTTTCCGAATTCCAGTGTGTTGATGTTCCTGCTACCCGTGCGTGGCTTCGCACCTTGTCTGCCTCTGACCAAGCCCTTGCAAGAAAACTCTTGGATGGGACTCACATCACTCAGGACTCCAAACAATATTGCCAAGAAGCCTCTGATGACCAGTGCCCCTATTGCTGCTGCAGTGACTCTAGGTACCATCGGTTCTGGCAATGTGAACACCACAGCCCCTGTAGGTTGCATGTTTCTAATGATGTTTGGAAACTTCTCCCGGAGCTTCCTGAAAGTGTGACTTCCTATGGTTGGGCCCTGCGTCCCAGCACAATGCCTGAGTGGTTCCAATACCTTGACTCCATCCCGAGTGTCCCTGTGCTTCCTGACCTGCCAGATGCTCCTGATTGCCTTCATGTTTTTACAGATGGTAGCTGCTTTAACCCCCAGTTTGCAAATGCCCGGTTTGCCTCGTGGGCTATAGTCTCTGCGCCTGTTGACGGAGGGTCCCAGAGTGAAATCATTGCCAGTGGGCCTTTGCCAGGAATACGACAAACGTCCATGCGGGCGGAGATTTTTGCAGTTCATCAGGCGTTGCGTTTTGCACTGGCGAACAATGTTGCAATGATGATTTGGTGTGACTGTGCTGCTGTGGTCCGGAAGTTTCATAAGTTGCTTCATGGTGGGGGGGTTAAGAGGAACTCTCCTAACTCTGACCTATGGCGATGTATTCACAGTGACCTACAACAGTTGCAGAAACAGGTTGGAATCACAAAGGTTGCCGCTCATAGGAGTGTTGATTCCGCCTGCTCAGCACTTGAGGAGTGGTGCTTCATACATAACCAGTTTTCTGACCATGCTGCAGGCCGTGCTAATTTCGCTCGGCCGCCTGGGTTCTGGAATTTGTTGGGGCGACATGTCCATGCAATTTCTGTGGTAGCACGTTGGAATGCTGAGATTCATCAGGTTTTGCTGGCAGTCAGTAGGTCGGTTGTACAGAATGAATCTGTTGAAGGTGAAGAGCCCTTGATTCAAACTCCAGATGATGTGCCGCTATGGCAACCCTTGCCGAAGCTGACCATCCCATCACAAGCTGTCAGATGGTATGGGGACTACGTGGTGCGGTCAATTCTTAGCTGGTTTTGGTCTGTCCTTCATTCTGATCTTGATGAAGTTCGTTGGATTTCGCATTTTCAGCTGTTTATTGACTACACTGCTTCTTCTGGGGAGATTGGGCCTGTTCACTTTGATGCCTGGAAAAACGGGTCGGATATTTTGCTGAATGGACTTAGGCATGCGGGATTTAAGGAACGCTCTAGGTGGTTCACCAAAGTTCTCAAAGAGTGTGTCAGACGTCTGCAAATTCAGCTCAATTACCGATACTGTTGCCCTGCCAGTACCATGTTAGCCATGCATACGGGTTGCATTGCTTTGCCGTGGCCTAGTTGGAGACTTGAGTTGGTTGACCATTACCTTTTCAAATTTTCTGGCAGTGCTTTTCGAAGGCAATCGAAAGCGTTGGATTCAGTACCGGTTGCACCTAGGAATGCTCAGTTCCCATTTTCTGTGATCTCTCTGTGTAGATGAGCGCTCTGAAAGGGCCGTTTGCGACAGACTCAAACGGCGCGAAACGGAAATGGAGAAATGGTGGTTTGGAACATGTTTTATTTGTCCATATATTGGGAATTTCATAATCCCAACTGACTTTCACTCCATTTTTCAGAGGGGTAGGTCAACCACCAAGCAGCTGTCAGAATCGCTCCGAGGCCATCCCCAGTTACGCCTTGTGATTCTGAGACGGAGAGTCTCGAAGTCATCGAAGTCACGGTCGAGAAGGTGGACTCCCAACAAAGAACCACCTTGGACAGTCTCAACACCATAGGCTCGAGCGAAAACTGCGAGTGGGCCAAGTTTCAGATGGGGCACTGGAAAGGGACCACGAAAAATTGTCGATGGATTCTTCATGTTCCTGTCAAAGATATTTGAGATGTATTTAGAATAGTTTAGAATGTTCTACATCAAATCCTGTGTCATGCTCTCCTATGTCACCCAAAAATTCCGAAAACTTAAACACATATTATTTGATCTTATTTTCCAACTTCAGCTCCTTGCTGACTATGTTTGTAAGTGACGTCAAATCACCAGGCCGGTTGAAGTTGAAATTTCCCTGAAGCCTTGCAGGCAGCCGGTTGCGGCTGAGTCTCCAGTCTCTTGCAGGTCAGTTCAGGACACATGTACAATTGGGGGATTCATCGTTAACAATCATTGGGGGTGGATTTTGAGTGCCACAATAACACCCATCACTCAACAATGATCCACAAAATTGTGGATTACAATTACAACCAATTAGTGTGTCCAAAATAGATAAAATTGTTTAGATAAAATTGTTTACAGGCCTTTGTTAATAAAATTTGTGGTGCCCAAAAAACACCTCCCAGTTGGCTGAGTTGGTGTATGAATTAATATCTGGTTGGTGGTTTGGGACATTTTTGATGTTCCCCAATAGTTGGGAAGAATCATCCCAAGTGACGAACTCATATTTTTCAGACGGGTAGGTCAACCACCAACCAGTAATATATAACTACGGTTTATACTGGAGAGATCTATAGTTCACATTAGTTCAGTTATAAACCAACGTACATCTGTGCTTCGCAGGACCACAATCCGCCACTCGGTGTCCCCCCGGAATCGGCGCAGCACCAGTAGTAGTGGAGGCCGTGGCACGAATTTCTCGGTGCAGACGGATGAGTTGGAACGCTATGCGCTGAGTCAGACCTCCTTTCCCGAACTGGTGAGACGCTGCAGTGTTTCATCACATACGGTTGCTTTGGTTGCTCTTATTTTTCTTTTTGACCATTGATATGACGTTTTATCATGATTAATTCACTGTATTTGCTGTTACGGTTGCTGTTATTGTTGTTATTGTGATTTATGTTGTTATTGTAATTACTACTATTGTTGTTGATACAGGATTGTCTAGGTGCATGTGCATATATATATACATTAATTATAATTATACATTATATATACATACGTTGGAACATCTTTGATGCTGATATTCAAGAAGATCAAAATGGAAGGACCATGACTCAATGGTCATATACTCATATACTTTGGTTGTTGGGTTCAACCATGTTTCATCCTATTTGAGAAAATGACTAAGACGTTCGGGATAGTATGATATAGATTGATATAGTGTATTGGTTTCTTTCTCCAATCAGTCAGTGGTAGCGGGATGGGAACTACCAACCAGTTAACACACGGGTTTGTCATGGTTTGTCTGAACATATACCTTCATTTTCCCAGCAAGATTGCATTACCTTAGGCATATATGCTTGGATAAACCAGATATATCATAAATAATATATATATATATGTCACATAAACATATATATATAGTGTTCATTATATTACATATTTGATCATCCCATTCATTCCGGCGTTTATATATTAATATACATATATATATATAAATCAGTCCATATTGTACCCCAAGTGATGCCAGCACAACAGGTCTTGAAGCGTGGTGGTTCAGTGTTGTCAAATCAGAACGACCAGACAAAACATGAACGTTTTGGCTACGCCGCTTCGCAGAGACGGGTTTGAGAGATTTTGAGACCTGAAATGGGAGATTCACCCTCCATTGAATTAACATACAGTAGCAATGAAAACTGGTCCATTTATAGCTGATTTACCATCTGGTTATTTAACATAGCCATGGAACATTCCTTATAAATGGAGGTTTTAATGATTTTCCATCTGTAAATGGGCCATGGCTTCCATAGCTATGTTGGACATAACCAGAGGGTACTTAAAATTAAAGGTGATGATTTTCAACAAATTAGTTATCTTAGTTTACCGCAGGATACATGGATAAAGAATTCCCTAAGATCTGACCATTGATCATTGATGTTTGAAAAAATGATGTTCAAAACATGTCAAAACCATGGGATGCTTCTGGCGCGGTCTGAGGAGTCAAACCCAGATGGGTGAGGTTCAGGGAAATTCAAGTGACAAGGAAAGTAGTTATCTGTGTTCCAACAAAGCTGGGTCACCAACAAAGCCGGGGATGAAATGCAAAAATGACAGCTTTCTTCAATGTTTGTTCAACGTTCATCCGTCGAGTCTCCCTTGGCATCCCTGGTGTGGCTCTCGAGGATGAAGACCGGGACATGACCTATGACTACTTCATCAGTCACAATTGGTCTGTTCCGAGATGGAAGAAATTTATGGCATTGTGCATGAGTCTGAGCCAGATTGGTGGACGATATCCTCTGGTAGTTTGACATCATATGACAAATACCCATCTTTAAGAGGTAAATCATCTTGGAATGGGCCATTATCCACAGCTATGTTAGATTACCAGAGGGTATGAGTTTGTCCAAAGATGCTGGCTGCCCAAAGTTATTGCCATGCTGTGGCCATTTTAGCGGGGGAAACGATTCTCACCTACGAAATTTTTGGGTACTCTACTTTCAGACCAAATCTCTCTCTCTCTCTTTGTATAATATATATATATATGTATGTATATGTATACATATATATATATCTATTAGGACGTAGCTCTACCACGTTTTTGACGGGTCTCTTTAGAGAGTTTTTATAGCCTTAACTTTTAGTTTTTATATCCTTAACTTTTAGTTTTTATACACTTAACTTTTATTTTTTATACACTTAACTTTTAGTTTTTATACCCTTAACTTTTAGTTTTTATACCCTTAACTTTTAGTTTTTATACCCTTAACTTTTAGTTTTTATACACTTAACTTTTAGTTTTTATACACTTAACTTTTAGTTTTTATACCCTTAATTTTTAGTTTTTATACACTTAACTTTTAGTTTTTATACACTTAACTTTTAGTTTTTATACAATTAACTTTTAGTTTTTACACCCTTAACTTTTAGTTTTTATACCCTTAACTTTTAGTTTTTATACACTCAACTTTTAGTTTTTATACACTTAACTTTTAGTTTTTATACACTTAACTTTTAGTTTTTATACACTTAACTTTTAGTTTTTATACACTTAACTTTTAGTTTTTATACACTTAACTTTGAGTTTTTATACACTTAACTTTTTTTATACACTTAACTTTTAGTTTTTATACCCTTAACTTTTAGTTTTTATACCCTTAGCTTTTAGTTTTTATACACTTAACTTTTAGTTTTTATACACTTAACTTTTAGTTTTTATACCCTTAACTTTTAGTTTTTATACACTTAACTTTTAGTTTTTATACACTTAACTTTTAGTTTTTATACCCTTAACTTTGAGTTTTTATACCCTTAACTTTTAGTTTTTATACCCTTAACTTTTAGTTTTTATACACTCAACTTTTAGTTTTTATACCCTTAACTTTTAGTTTTTATACCCTTAACTTTTAGTTTTTATACCCTTAACTTTTAGTTTTTATACCCTTAACTTTTAGTTTTTTATACACTTAACTTTTAGTTTTTATACCCTTAACTTTTAGTTTTTATACCCTTAACTTTTAGTTTTTATACAATTAACTTGTAGTTTTTATAGCCTTAACTTTTAGTTTTTATACACTTAACCTTTAGTTTTTATACCCTTAACTTTTAGTTTTTATAGCCTTAACTTTTAGTTTTTATACACTTAACTTTTAGCTTTTACACACTTAACTTTTAGTTTTTATACCCTTAACTTTTAGTTTTTATACACTTAACTTTTAGTTTTTTATACCCTTAACTTTTAGTTTTTATACCCTTAACTTTTAGTTTTTATACCCTTAACATTCAGTTTTCATACACTCAACTTTTAGTTTTTATACACTTAACTTTTAGTTTTTATACCCTTAACTTTTAGTTTTTATACCCTTAACTTTTAGTTTTTATACCCTTAACTTTTAGTTTTTATACCCTTAACTTTTACTTTTTATAGCCTTAACTTTTAGTTTTTATACCCTTAACTTTTAGTTTTTATACCCTTAACTTTTAGTTTTTATACCCTTAACTTTTAGTTTTTATACCCTTAACTTTTAGTTTTTATACACTTAACTTTTAGTTTTTATACCCTTAACTTTTAGTTTTTATACACTTAACTTTTAGTTTTTATACCCTTAACTTTTAGTTTTTATACCCTTAACTTTTAGTTTTTATACCCTTAACTTTTAGTTTTTATACACTTAACTTTTAGTTTTTATACCCTTAACTTGGAGTTTTTATACCCTTAACTTGGACTTTTTATACCCTTAACTTTTGACTTTCTGTACCCTTAACTTGGAGTTTTTATACCCTTAACTTTTGACTTTCTGTACCCTTCACTTGGACTTTTTATACCCTTTACTTTTGACTTTCTGTACCCTTAACTTAGACTTTATGTACCCTTAACTGAATCATTTTGGATCAAGCACCGAGGTCACCAATATCAATGAAAAATGCAACAGGCATTCTGGTAAAATCATTGAGCTCAGAAAAGCGCTTTCAATGACTCAAATTTTGCATTTTTCTGGGTCTCAAATTTGACAGTTTTCTGGGCCCCAAATTGGCTCGAAACCCGGCCCCGGGACCCTTACTTTGTGTCAGCTTAACTGGCCAGACTTAAGCTGATAAAAACTCCAAAAGTTAAGCTGATAAAAACTCTATTCTGCTGCAAAATAGAGTTTCTGTACCCTTACTTTGTGTCAGCTTAACTGGCCAGACTTAAGCTGATAAAAACTCACCTTCTTGGGGTCATTTTGGGGTCATTTTGGGGACATTTTGGGGTCTTAAGGGTATAAAAAGTAAAAAGTTAAGTGTATAAAAACTAAAAGTTAAGTGTATAAAAACTAAAAGTTAAGGGTATAAAAACTAAAAGTTAAGGGTATCAAAACTAAAAGTTAAGGGTATAAAAACTAAAAGTTAAGGGTGTAAAGACTAAAAGTTAAGGGTATAAAAACTAAAAGTTAAGTGTATAAAAACTAAAAGTTAAGGGTATAAAAACTAAAAGTTAAGGGTGTAAAGACTAAAAGTTAAGGGTATAAAAACTAAAAGTTAAGTGTATAAAAACTAAAAGTTAAGTGTATAAAAACTCAAAGTTAAGTGTATAAAAAACTAAAAGTTAAGTGTATAAAAACTAAAAGTTAAGGCTATAAAAAGTAAAAGTTAAGGGTATAAAAACTAAAAGTTAAGGGTATAAAAACTAAAAGTTAAGTGTATAAAAACTAAAAGTTAAGGGTATAAAAACTCAAAGTTAAGTGTATAAAAACTAAAAGTTGAGTGTATAAAAACTGAATGTTAAGGGTATAAAAACTAAAAGTTAAGGGTATAAAAACTAAAAGTTAAGGGTATAAAAACTAAAAGTTAAGTGTATAAAAACTAAAAGTTAAGGGTATAAAAACTAAAAGTTAAGTGTATAAAAACTAAAAGTTAAGTGTATAAAAACTAAAAGTTAAGGGTATAAAAACTCGTAAAGAAAACGTGTTAGATCAACACCCTAATATATCTAAGTATATATATAGTACATACCCACAGGGCGCAGGGTTCGCCGTCGGGCAAACAAGTTCTTTTTGGTTCGTACGTTTGTCTGCGCTTCCTTCGGTATGTTCATTTGTACCCATGTTTAGTGGGTCGAAATAGACGTTGTCGTGTTGTGGGTGGACCGGATGGCGTTGTTTTTGGGATGCAGGCCCGAATTTGGGTTTCATTTTTCCTCCTTTCGGTGTATTATGCTTACAAAGAAGGCCTGGGTGCGCCATGTGCTTCCTTGTTTGAACATGTTTGAACAGTTTTGCCCGAAAGGCGACGGCCCCGCCTTGTGTGTATATGATCTTTGTTTAATACTCCAAAAATAAGTATACACTACTTACTTATATTCTATTTTGGTTTTCGTCACTTTTCTGGGGTGACTAGATGTATAATATGTATTATATATATAATATGTATTATATATTATGTATAATATCTATATGTATTTGTATACTAACTATATAGTTATCATGTGTATATGGGAAGATGGGAAGATACTGAAGGTTGGTTTGCATGCAACGGGTTAGACTTACTGTAAAAAAAAAACACGTCACACAAATCTAGATTTTGTGCACATACTTAATGACTGCAAAGGACTTTATATAACGTATATATTCTGGTCAGCAGGTGTTTTCATATTTGCATGTTCAGGATATGTTTTATTTGGCCCAGATGTTTTCCAGGGATTGATCTGGGACAAAACTTCGTGGAGTATTTGGATGGTTTTTCCCGGTAGGGTAAGTCGATCTGGGCGATCTTGGATGGTTACCCAGGTGACCCACATGCTGTGTGGTGGTACAGCTGGACATCCACAAGTTGATTCAACTTGTCAACCATCAAATTGTGAAGAATCCACGGGCCATCGCGATGTTTTCTGGGGCCAAAATCAGATGTCACCATGTACCATTCACCTGGAGAAAAAGAAAACCTCAGGATTTGGAGTGGCAAACGTGTCCTGGTGTCCTGTTGTTTGGTGCAAGTGGTTTGCTTCGTGCTGGTTTGCGCGGGTGCTCTGCCATTGACCCCAATGATCAGCGGCGAGGGGCAGATGAGTATCTGGTGCAGCAGTGCTTCCTTCCTGACCTTCTTTGTGGTGTTTCTATTCTCCAGTGATGCCTGGATTTATGCTTTCCAGCACCTTAGTTTGAGGGTTGTCTATGGGAATTCGAAGTTATGAGGATACGGACAATCCATTTTCAGATTCATGGGCATCCTATTTTTAGACAAAACCATTTGATCCATTTGTAAGTTGCAGTACCTTGGGGTTAAGTAACATAGACAATACATCTATATCACACAATATGAAAAAATCCCTTGGAACATCAATATAATCTACACATGGATGGTTTTCCGTATCTACGGTAGTTTTCTGAGAGTAGTCTGGACATGATTCTTCAATGATTGCGAAACCATCGAGCCGGGGACGCCCTACTTGGCAAATAAAGGGATATCAATTCGCAGTTTCAGTAACATCCCAGTGGTGAAACTTAGTAGATGTATATAGATAGGTCCTAGTTGCAATCATATTGTATCTCCAAACAACAATAAAATGAGACCAGTTTCCCATATATATATATAGATATATACATAATTATATAGCAGATAGATATAAATAGGTTCTATACCAGAAGTCAATGGTTGCGGATCATTGCCACCTTAGAGACCATTTGAGTGACTGTTCTGGTCAGGAGCAGTACTCAACTCAACAGAGTCGACACGAACCTGTGTGCCAAAAACATCCAAACATGTGTCATTTTCCTACTGGTCAACACACACACATACAATATATATATATATACATATAATATAGGATGTGCATTATATATATATATACATACTCCCAAATTTCATTGGTTTTGTTGATTCATACCGCTAAAAGCCCATTTTGTTGTGGCAAGGTCGTACCAAAACCTATTGTGCATGTTTCGGTGGGTGTGTTAAAAAAATACCATCAGCATAACTCATGTTTTGCCATTATTTTCCCTCTTATTGCCAGACCCATCTTTTTCCCTGGTATACTTGCCATAACTTGGAGACATATTCCATGTCCACCACGGCTGCCCTGCTTAGGACGTATTGCAGATCTTAGGCCTCAAGGGCTATCGCACCTTTTTGGATAAGGTCTGCGTCGACCAATCTGACGAGGATAAGAAAAGGCAAGGCATTGGAGCCATCACGGCGTTCCTGTCACTCAGCGGCATGTGCCAGGCGGAAAACCTTGGAGAGTTTTGAAGTAATTGTATCACACTGGGAGGAATCTATATTAATGTCAACCCTGGATTAATAAACCCCAAACGGCTGTTTAATTGGGAGGGTACCATTTATGTATCAGATGAAATGACTATTGGAGGAGTACCCCCCTAATTAATAAACCATGGTTTATTAATCCGGGGTTGACATTATATTACTTTAATCACATGGAGGGATGGGTAATTTTTGGAAGACCCAGCAGACCGCAGGCAGCGACGGTCGAGTTTCAGTATTAACCATCCAAGTTTAGGGCACCCAAGTTTGACCCATTGCCATTTAGCAATATTTATCACGTTTTTATCCTGGGTAAAGAAAAACTTGGAGAGTTTTGGTACTTTTGGTCCCTGACTGTGTAATCTTTTGCTATGACTGAAGTATAGTGTCGAAGCAGCCAATAAAAATTGGCTGGGTACCTAAGATTGCAGCAGGAAGTGATTCTCTGGTTGGATGAAGTTGCACTTGATGGTCAGACCTTGTGTGATTTTGTGCTGGAAAAAAGACTGGGAGCAGCACACTGACACGTTGCAAAGCTGTGGCCAGACGGCGCCCTGATTGGATGATTTTTTCTTGTGATTCATGACCAGACATTGAATTATATTATATATATATGATTTCCTGCAACGGATTGCAATGGGAATATAATGCATATAATAATGGGTGGTGGGATCAAAAACACTTGGGGCCCGCGTTTCCCAGTCAAGAAAAAGGGACTGACGATGTTTAGTTTCCTCGGTTGGAAGAGTAATGTCACCGTAGGAATAAAGAAGTTACCATGCAGGGTCATCAACAACTTAGTCACTGCTCATGTGCTGAGATTATTCGGCTGGCAATCATATGTCCGACATACCCTCCGGCAATGCAACTTTGCAAATGGAAAAATCTCCAGGCAGAGATTACAGATGCTCAACCTTTGGACCTTTTGAGAATCATCCCGAAACTTCCCAGTATCTCTGGTTTGAGAAAGCCAATTAAATATGATAAATTGCCAAGAATTATTTGCAACCAAAACACTTTGGATGACGTTATTATTTATTGCACTTGTATGTTTACCGACCTTTACTTCAGAAATCAACCAAATATATTAATTGATATATATATAATGCTTGGATGGTCTCAGAGATGTTTCTATACCTGCAAACTAGTTGTAAGTTCTTTACGGAAGTCATGGCCAAGGCCAAGTCAGCCCAAGTCCAAGTCACAGTGAGGAGTTGTCCGATTCACTAGTTGTTTCACACATCTGATCACAAGCACTTGGATGGGCCATTCAAACCTCCTTGGTCGAAAGTCCCTGCCTGGGTCCATAAGCATCACGAATTTTCTTGCTCATCATACCATGGACACAGTTTCTATCCGTTTTGTTCAACCCTGCGGTTCTGGTTTGGAATATAATGATACATGTGCCATGGTCAAAAGTTCAATACTAGTTCAATTGCAAAACTCTTGTGGCTTGGTCGTCCCTAAATTTCATTCATCCAGGAATTCATTCATCGCCAGCTGGTTGGAACTTGGTGGGATCATACGGGATAAACAAAATAAAAACTCTTGTCGTGGTACGCAGGTATCATTCGGATGCCATGGTGGTGCTATACTCTGAAATGTACCTCACCCGGCTTTGGACAGCACCTGGGCGTATATTCAAACAGATCACTGGCTATGGAGGAACGCAGCACAAGTTCTTTCTAATGTTGCTTTGAACTAGCAACCAGAAATATATGTCCAGCGATTTGTGGATTGCCCAAGACTGGACCTATAAGATCTATAAGTCTAAGACCATCGGTTGATGGGAGATGAACATGAACACCAGCTATGCTGCGTAACCGCTTCGCCAGGATTCTGAAGCGCTCACATGCCCCATATTGCCATTTATCCATGCTACAATTGTCCAATGCATTTGGTCTTCTTTGGGTAAATGTGGATACATATGCTATGGGCGTGGGTCAAGTCATTGGGTACCTAAATTTTAGGGTGGTTCATACTGACCACATGAAGTGGATCGGCCGCAAGAAACTTGACCCATATGGCCACCTACAATCCTTTGTGATATGCCATTGACTCTTCGAATGGTTGATTCTTGAGGTCAAATACCAGTATGATACCAGTAGTACCGCACAAGGCGGTGGCGGAAGTTTCAAAAATAGAAAACCTATAGGAGAGATTGGCTGTTGTGAATCAGGGATGGCAGAGCGAATCCACTGATGGACCGAAAGGTGCTTGAGGTCTCCTCTCTTTCTCTCTCTTTCTCTCTCTTTCTCTGACTATCTACCCACCTACCAACCTATCTTCTATGTATCTATCTACCCATCTACCCATCTACCCATCTACCCATCTACCTATCTACCTATCTACCTATCTACCTATCTACCTATCTACCTATCTATCTATCTATCTATCTAATAACTATCTGTCTATCTGTCGAGCTGTCTACCTGTGGTGCAGTGTCATTCAGTGTAATGTAGTGTAGTGTAATGTAGTGTAGTGTAGTGGAGTGTAGTGTAGTGTAATGTAGTGTAGTGTAATGTAGTGTGGTGTAATGTAATTTAGTGTAGTGGAATGTAGTTGTGTATTCGTAGTTGTAGTTGTAGTGTCGTGGGGTGTAGTGTAATGTAGTGAAGTGTAGTGGAAGGTAGTGTGGTGTAGTGTAATGTAGTGTAGTGTAGTGGCGTGTAGTGTACTGTAATGTAGTGTAGTGTAGTGTAATTTAGTGTAGTGTAGTGGAGTGTAGTGTAGTGTAATGTAGTGTGATTTAGTGTAGTGGAGTGTAGTGGAGTGTAGTGGAGTGTAGTGGAGTGTAGTTGTGTAGTTGTAGTGTTGTGTAATGTAGTGTAGTGCAGTGCAGTGTAGTGGAGTGTAGTGTAGTGTAATGTAGTGTAGTGAAACGAAGCGACATCTGAACCTCCAAAAGTGGTCCGAAACCCTAGTGTTTTTCACATTTTGACTTCGAAATGTGCTTCGCGCCACAACGGCGTGCACTTTTTCGACATCTGAACCTCCAAAAGTGGCGCGAACATGTGGTTTTTTGTACATTTTGACCTCAAAATGTGCTTCGCGCCACAACGGCGTGCACTTTTTTGACATCTGAACTTCCAAAAGTGGTCCGGAGCTGGTGTGTTTTGTACATTTTGACTTGGAAATCTGCTTCGCGCCACAACGGCGTGCAACTTTTCATCTCTCATCTGGCCAGCTGGCTCCGCACCCGCCGCTTTAGCAAGCCTACTTTTCGACCCTCCGGAGCCCCAAATCATTGGAAAAACACAGTGTTTCGCGACTTTCCTACCTTTTCGCGCATCTCCATCTTCTTTCTTCTTACTCTTTCTCTTCTACTCTTCTTTCTTCTAATCTTTCTCTTCTCTCTGCCTCTTCCCTGCTCTGCTTTTCATCTGTCCATACTGTCGGAAGTTTGACTTCTAAACTTCCTTCGGCTAGTTCTGATGTGTACTTTGAGGATCAAAGAAGTTCTTATGTACTGTATGTATTCTAAAAGAATGCTTTGTGGATTAGTTTTGGGACATTTTGTGAGCATCATTAATATCTATTTTAGAACCTCAAAAACTCTCCGTTAATCAACCGTGGTAATGGAATTCCCCCATATATAGATGATTTTTCCATTACATCCCTCCACTGACAAGAGATGTTCCATTGCCACGGTTGATTACCAGAGGGTATTTTCCTTTGTTGAAACTCATTTTGCAAAGAAGAATAGGGTTCCCGAAAGGTCGTCGACGTGGGATGTACTGTTTTTCTTCATTCATTTGGCAAACCAAGATGTTCAAACCCAGATTTTCAGGCAAACCCAAATATCCTGTTGTTGGTGAAATATTGTCCGAAATTCCATGATATGCATCAATATTGTGTTGCTTAAATGCCTTATGTTTTATATTTCAAAGTTATTCAAAGTTAAATCCGCATTTTCCCAGAATGAAGCCACATTTGACGATGCTTTATTAAGCAACGTCTGTGTTGAGAAATTGCTTTTCGTATGATAAGCGCTTCGCCCAACGGCCCATGGCCCCATTTGGATGATCGACACTCTGGTGAAATGACGTCTTCAGTTTGCTATGGAAAGAGTTTTCCCACTGAAGATGGTGGATTTTCCCATTCAAAATGGTGGGAAAATGGTGATGTTCCCATTAAGAATGGTGATTTTCCCATAGAAATAGTGGATTTACCCATTAAACATGGTGATTTTCCAGTTCGTTATGTAAATGTTTACCAGGCCGGGTACATGGAGCGAAAAGGGGATTTTGTCCGCAAGAAATGTTGGACAAAAACACCGACTTTCACGGTTAGGGTTTTTATCCCTCAGCTCATGTTGATGTGAACCACTCGCGTTCGAAGGTGTTCCACGAAGTTTCACCGACAGGTCTATGAGTTCACCACTTTCTTGGCCCTGAAGCCTGATGCCCAAATCCTGGTGCAACCGGTGATTCTGGGACCTCTGGCAGAGCCTTGCTTGGAAAGCCGGGATTTGGCTTGGCAATTTTTTAGGTGAATCCTGGTAGCTGAGATTTGGGCGTGAAGAACGAAGCTGAACGGAGAAGGGGTGACATCCCACGGGAAATGGACCTTGACAATTTCTGACAACCTGAAAAAAACACCTGGAGTATTTCGACATGTCCCAAGAGTGACTTAAAATGACTTAAAGGGATTTAATGGTGATTTACAAGTATTTGCATAAGGGGAATGAATGTGGATGATTATTTGATGACCTCACGTCGCGACGCTGCGACGTCACTGGACAGATGGTATTCAGGGAATCATCCCCGAAATTGGCCGTATGAAAACAGCTACTTTCAGGGTAAGTTTCATGCTCAGGCCTTCCCGTGGCAAACTTGAGGGGTACTGTAGAGCCTCCGAATTGAGCAATGTCGTCTGTTTGGAAAGAAATTCTGGATGAGTTTGATCTCTGGATGTCAGATGGATGTGCCTTCAAGAAATATGGCATTTTGGTTGCTGAGAATATTCTGCCTTTGAAAGATGGTTGGTTTTCTTGCTCGGTGATTGCCCCTGAGGGTATCAGCAGTTCTTGCATTGCCAGAGATTTCATGCGGTTTCATGATGACAGGCCTTCTCATGAGGCCACCATGATTTGGAATGTTGAATGGTCGCAGCCCTTGCCTGAAGTGAAGTACATGATTTGCGGTGTTGATGTCTGCCCGGATAACATCCTTGCAGATTTTGAGGTTCCGAAAAGTGCCATTCCATTGCCCTTGCTCCAAGCAAGTGTCATGCCAGTGAACGTGATTGAGCTTTTTTCAGGGGGTTTGGGAGGTTGGAAAACTGCATGTAACTTCCTGCATGAACATGAGAATGTTGCTTTCAAAGTGCTTGCCGTTGAAATTGATATCGAAGCAGCCTTCACGTATGCAGTGAGCCATTCAGTTCCTTTGATCAGTGGAAAAACGCACCTGGACCCAGCATTGGCACAGCAGCACTCACACCTTGTGGTGCATGCGGATGTAGCTGGAGATACTTGGTTGAGTCTTGGTAGTGCTTGGTGCCCAGACATTGTTGCGATTTCCTCACCATGCCCGCCTTGGAGTTCAGCAGGTTCATCCTCAGGTCTCTACTCAGAAGAAGGCCAATTGTTGATCCGATCGATTGCAATCTGCAAGTTGCTCCGTCCACGGGCAATAGCACTTGAGCAGGTAAGTGCTTTTGCGTCACATGAGCACTTTCACTACGTGGTGCAAACCTTGAGATGGGCTGGTTACCAATTATACCATGCTCAGGTCTTGGATGCATCCGACATTCTTCCCATTGCCAGGTCCAGATGGCTTGCCATTGCTTTGAGAGTGAATGATGATGGAGTGAGCCACATGCCTTTCCAGGGTTGGTACCCAGTTGAAGCTCAAGTGCCCAACACATGGGATGTCATTTTGCAAGAACAGTTTTTGCATGATGCACGTCTATACCCGAAGTCCGATGTCCTGTCCTTGTCTGCCAGACATGACCTTTTGCCTCCTGCGAAGCGCAGGGTAGTGTCCAAAGAACATGTGCTTGCTTCCAGATGCTATGACGGAACAATCAAGATCCCGACATTGATGGCATCATATGGGTCCCAACATTGTTTGTCCGACGCATGGCTCAGTGAGAAGGGATTGATGAATCATTTCTTCCGCCAAGTTGGAAAAAATCCAAGATACTGGCACCCAGTTGAATTGTGGCTGATGCATGGGGCTCATGGACAGCAGTTTTTCATGAAAGATTGGGTCAAGGCGTACAGGCATGTCGGTAATCAGATTTGCACTCCTCATGCCCTGTTGATTATCACGAACATTCTCAACTGCTTGGATAAAGTGCCACAAGGTTTTGATGCATCAGAGGTCATCCAGGACTTCATTTCCAGCAGGAACAAGGCATCCGAAATTGCTGTCACTGAAACACAGGCAGGTTTCCTTGCACACAACGCACACAAGATCCTTTCCGACGAACAGAAAAGACACATTGAGAACTTCCAGTCTGGTTTGTATGATGGAACGATCCCACACGACATGTTTTGGAATTTGAACGGATTCCAATCTTGCAATGCCATCATACTGGATGACACAGTGGATCTTGCCCTGACTGCACCCATGCCAATTTTTGAGAAGGTCACCATTTGCACCGCTGGATTGACATTCGAAGTTTTCATCCAAGATGGAATTCCCTGCGAAATGGCCTTGCAGCTTTGGGATCATGCCTTCCAAGACTTAGAGTGCTTCGAAAAACAAGATGCAGTTGCAAAAGTTTGGGTGCCCACTGACAATTGGCAAGAGTCACATGATGCCACTCCGAACTTGTGGGTCGTCATACATGAAAAATGCTTGTACGTTGCAAAGCCATCAGAAGAAACAGTGTCATGGTTTCTGGAAAAGGGAAACGGGATCTACGTTGACACACTTGGCAACCCCATGAATTTGCCAGGTTTTGCTGGAGCTCTCACCACTGCAGGATTTAGCCTGAAGTCAATGCCCTTTGTGCCATGCAACATTGCACACTTTGTGCTTGCCAATCAATTCTGCAGTATGCAAGTGATCAATGAACAGCACAAGTTCCAAGTCACTGCAATCATCCAGGGACCAGGGGAACATCGTGTCATTGTGGCCGAATTCTGGGCGAACCTTTTCTCAAAGAATGCACTTGATGCCATTGGTGTGTCCCTCACATGCAATCACCAGAGCAACTGCACAGCATTGATTTGGACAGTCCAAGATGCCAGATGCCCATTGCCGGTGCAATCCCTTTTGATTGCCATGTTTTCCAAAGCTGGATACTGCCTTTTCTCCAAATTGCAGGACTTGACAGGGCGCCACATCAGAATCAAAGTCTTTGGTAACGTGATTTGGGAAGGTAAATTGCCGATCAAGTTTTCAGTTGCCACTTTGAAGCAATGTTTGCACGCCATCACATGTCTTGTGTCAGGTAACTTGCAGTACCGAATGATTCAAGGGGGTAAGCAACCTGCGCCAGAGTCCACGATTGAACAACTTGCCCAAGACAATCCTTCCAGCAGGCTGACATGTCACTTTGTTCTGCAGATGAATGGAGGGGGTTCCGAAAATGGAACAAAGGCAGGTCACAGGACTCAGATCAAAAATGCCATTGCAGGTGTTCTCTTGGAAGAAGGATATGACCTTGCATGGACCTCGAAGTCCGTAGACCAGATGATGACGAAAATTGGCACCAAAGAACTTTCCAAGTTTCTGCAAGTTGAGACCTCCAAGAAAGTTTTTGCAGCCATGGATTTCTTGCGTAGCTGTGACATAGACATTCCGAAGATCAACACGGCAAAATCTTCCCAAGTTGCAGCCAATGCCAAGAAGAAGAGATTCACTTCCATGCCAGATCCTGCCAATTACACAGTCTTGGATGGTGTTTTGGTGAATGAAAACGATTCCCCTTGTGCTCACATTCCCAAGTTTGGGGGTCATCAGCAGGGATATCATTTGTGCACGCCAGCAGTGGCTTTGCCATGGTTGCGTCAAGGAGACATCCTATCCAGGGACGAGTTGGCACTTTTGATTTTTGGGGATTTGCCAGTTACCACAAGATTGGCCCATGAACATGTCACTGTACCTTGCCAAGATGAAAAAGGCCGCCAGGTCTTAGTCGCCGGAGTGTTGGTTCAATGTGGTGACAAAAAGGTCAAGATTGTACAAGGTGACGGTTACAAGGTGGACACCGATGGAACCATCCTTGCAGCAGTCACTTGGAGAAAAAGTGATTGGCCACAACAATGGACCGAGATCTGTGCAAACCCATACAAATTCCTGAAGAGCTTCCCTGGAGTGTCCGATCTTTTGGTTTCTGTTTGGGGTAAAGCCTATAGACAGGGCAAAGCACAGGCCACTGCCAACAATGCCAACTCCGTACAAGTGCACTGTCTTTTCAAGGAAGATAAGTTTGCCGCTTTCCTCAAATTATCCGGATTTAACATGCTCTGGTTATCTCCCAAGACGAAGGAGGGTAAGCCACATCCGGCATGGCGCATTCTTTGGCTTGATTCCAATTTGGACATGCAGGCTGCCACTGCATTGGCAGCAAAAATCCATGACAGTGCAGGGCTTGTGTGCCTATCTGAAAGGTATGCCATCCGAGTGCCAAAGAACAGTTATGCAGAGGCATGGGCAATCATATACCCATCAATCCCAGTGCCATTGGAAATGGATACGTCCAGAATTTTCAAACTTGAGAGTCTCCCTTTTGGAGTTACATCCACTATGCTTACAGCATGGGCAGAACACATCAGTTGGCCATTGAAGCCCTTGAGGGCAGTAGGTCCGAGAGCATGGCTGATAGGAACGGGACAGGATCCCCCATCCACGCAGCTTCATTTCAACAGCTCCCCGATTCTTGCCAGAGAATTGAACAGCAAGCCGCAGGCCTTCAATAATCCAATTGTGGCTGGCCCGCGACCTTCCAAGCCAAGTCATGCAGCTGCGAATCAGGACAACTACCAACTGATCGGGGACCCCTGGGCAAACTGGACAGGTCCCAGACCAACTGCACCAGCGGCGCCCATTGCAGCTTCTACTACGATTGGCCCAACAGAGCAGCAATTTGCCCAGCAAGCTGACCGGTTGAACAAACTGGAGACAGCCATGCAAGAAATGCAAACAGGTCAGAAGAAGCAAGAGATTGTGATGGAAAAGATCCAGAAGGAGCAGGTCAATCGAGATCAAGAGGTGCGCCAACAAATTGATGACAAATTTGCCGCCATGAAACATGAGATTGACAAGACGTTCCAGAACGCTCTGAACATGCAAGCATCTCAGTTCAATGCCAACATGGAGGAGATCAAAGGTCTTCTCAGGGAAAGGCCGAAAAGGAAGTCCAAGACGGAAGGTGACCAAGATATGAGTGAATGACTAGATCCTGCAGTCAAGAGCTTTGCATTTCCTTTGCATTGTTTTGTCGCCTGGTTGGTTTGGTTCCCGGTTTTTGTCTTTTGCCAATTTTGCCAAGGAATGCAGTTGTTGAAGCGATCCAGTCCAGTCTTCTTCGCCCAGCCGGGTGTTGGCTATGAACGGGGAAGATGTTTGTACATGATGATTCTTTGCCTGATCATGTGTCACCAGCCCCATGCGCTTGCTTCCAGCATCCCGTGTGGATGGAATAGTTTTGATCATTTTTCAGATCAAGTTGCAATCTCAACTTGGCGACCAAACTTGGGTGCAGCCGAACGTTTTGGTGAAGCATATCATCCAGGGCCTGTAGACTCTTGCAATGAAATTCGATTTTGTGTGACTAATCCTACTTGTATTGCCAAGAAATCCGATACCTACAAAGATCTCATGAAAGCGTATGACATCAAAGTTTTTTCCATGTCTGAAACTGCTGCTACCGAAGTGGTTCAAAAGCATTTTGCCCATGACATGAAGAAACAAAAATGCAGAATGTTGTGGTCGCCTCCAGTGCAACCGCATTGCCAGACTTCACAAGGCCAAGCCCATCAGAGAGGCAAAGCCTCCGGTGTAGCTGCAGCTTCAGCTATACCCATCCGCCCCATACGTAACAAGTTGCCTGATGAATGGGCAACAACCACACGTTTTGTGCATGGAGTGCTACAGCTTGGACAGTCCCACTGTCAACTTCTAGTACTTTATTGCAAACCGGTCTCCCAGACCAATGCAGTGGAATATAACAACCAATTGCTACAGCTGGCCATTCAGCAAGCCAGCCTCTTGCCGTTGCCATATATGATACTGGGTGATTTCAACATGCCTGTTGAATCCTTTGAATCTTGGCCTTTGCTTGAATCCAAGGGGTTTAGATCTCTTGATCAGTTGCACTTGCGGTTGTACTCCACTCCAATGCCAAACACTTGTAAAGGGGTTACTAAGCCTGATAATGCCATTGTCAGTCCCTTGCTAGTCCCATTTGTGTCCCGCATTCAGGTCTTGGAAGAAACATGGTTGGCCACGCACAGTCCCGTCATGTTCCAGCTGTCTTTGCCGGGTCCTGTCTTGTTTGCCAAACACATCCGTTTTCCCAAGTCTTTTGTCGAACTTGACATTGCTGACCAGCACTGGGATAACATGGTTGACGTTTCGGGGGCCTTGCAAAATGCTAGCAGCATCCAAGAATGGGGAGAAGCAGTTGAAAACAACATCGACAAATACCTGCGTCAAGGGGTGGGTTCAGTTCCCTTTCTTAGTAAAGCTTTTCGGGGCAGATGTCAACCAGTGACTTTTGTCAAATGCCCTATTATGTCTCCCACCAAAGTTGCCAACCAAGGAAGCTTTGAGCCATCCTGTGAAGTCCTATCCATGCCCACAAGGCGTAAGGTCACCCAGGTACGTCGGCTTGAATCCTTGTGGAGACGTTTGAATAAGCTTGAAAAAGAAGGGCCAAAAAATGAAAATACAATGGCAGGACTCAAAGGTGAATGGAAGGCCATTGTGCGCTCTCAATGTTTTGGGTCACCCTTTCTGCAGTGGATTTGTTCTTGGTCTTGTTTTGACTTTCCAAGTTGGCCTCTCCCGGAAGCGTCATGGGTTTTCGAGGTTCTTCAGTTTACAAAGTATCATCTTGAAATTTCTTTGAAAGAAGATGCAAAAATTCTGAAGAATAAGCTTGAATATCTTAGATTCCTGGATGCCGCCAACCATAACAAAGCAGCTTATGCCACGGTGAGGGGCCCCGGCATGCCCCGTGTCCATGAAATTGGGCGGGTTCAAACTTGTGAAGCCATTGCAGTGCCAAGTGACGATGGTCACGAACACTCCCTCTATATGGACTCAATCGAAACGGAAAAATTCTCCATGGACTTCCCTTTGGCCATAGGTGAAGTATCTGCTGAAGTTATATCCATTGAAGAGCATCGCTTACAAGTCCGTACCAAGGAAAGTTTTCCAGAGTGGCCTGAACAAATCATGGTTAGCCAACATCAGTTTGCCATTTCGCCTGCAGACCTTGCCAAGCATCTTGACAGTTTTTGGAAGCCTATATGGAACCGTGATCATGTTTCCATGGATTTCATGCAAGCCGAATCAGACACATGTCCTTTCCATGAACTGCTGACACACATGCCTGCACACCCACAAATACAAGTTGACATGCTCAGCCGAGAGGCGTGGTCCAAAGCAGTCAAGAAACTCAAAGCTCAATCAGCCAGAGGTACTGACAAGATCAGCGCTCAAGAGTTGAAACTTTTGCCTTGGTGTTACTTGGAAAAATTGGCAGTAATCATGTCAAGCTATCCACAGGGTTTCCCAGCCAGTTTCATGCATGGCCTGATATGCCCTTTATCCAAGACCGATGAAATCCCAGAAGCAAAACAGACTCGTCCCATCACATTGTTGCCACAACTTTACAGGCTCTGGGCAGCAGTTATGACTGCGGAGATCACAAAAGTTTTGTGCACTTGGATTCCAAATGACATCACTGGTCTCTTGCCAAGGCGTGGGGCCGCCAATGCAGCCTACTTTTCCCAGTTTCATATCGAAAAAGCACGGAGGTACCATAAGAGCATCTCAGGTTTGACTTTGGACATCATTAAGTGCTTTAACTGTATTCGCTGGGACTTCGGCTTTCATGCGTTGCTTGCCCTAGGGGTGCCCAGGCAACTTTTGGTCGTTTGGATGGCTTCAATCCAAGCCCTCACTCGCCACTGGCTCCTGAACAATCAAGTCATCACTGCAGGTCAGGGATCATGCGGGTTTCCTGAGGGAGATCAATTCAGCGTCATCACCATGATTGCGGTTGCCACAGTTTGGACAACGTCCACAAGAGCTAGGTTGACCAACCCTGAAGACACCCTTTTGTCAGCATATGCCGATAACTGGTCATGGATCAATAGTACAGTCACAGAGCACTTGCCAACTCTGAGAAACACTTTGGCCATTATGGATGCGGCTGGTACCAGCATTGACTGGCAAAAAACTTGGTTTTGGTCAACCTGCAATCGGCATGCAAATGACATCCAGAACATAGTTCAGCAGTGCGTTCCAGGGCAGCAGATTCAACAAAAAAGCTCCGCCGCGGACTTGGGGTTACAATTGCAATATAGTGGGAATAATACTTTGGGGATAACAACTACTAGATTGCAAAAAGGCTTCCAACGCCTCTTAAGATTACAGGCCATGCCCCACACACTTGTAATCAAGGAAACCATGTTGCGCACCAGTGTCTACCCAGCGGCACTGCATGGATCCGAAATCAAGCCTTTGTCAATTGACAACTTGCAGCAACTCCGCACTAGAGCGGCAAGAGCACTTTTTGGCCACAACAACAGCATGTCACCAGCATTGGCACTGTCTTGCACCAAAGGTGGTGTTCTTGACCCAGAGTACTGGATAATTGCAAAAGCACTATGCACTGCCAGGCACTTTCTTCTCAACCAGAGTCAAGAGGTGCAACATGCCTTTTTCTACATGTGCTCACGGTTTCAAGGCACTTTGCAGCAAGTATGCGGCCCTGCATCAGCCCTTGCGTTCATGCTGAGCCAACTGAGCCTTCAACTGGATGCCAATGGGTTTTTGCATGCCACAGCATTTCTCAAATTTTCAGTGCTTGGGGTTAGCCGTAAAAGACTTCTTCGGTTTCTTCAAGATGCTTGGATGGAACGACTTGTTATCATGCACACCAACAGGTTCAAGTGGTTTCAATTCCCTGACATTTCCTTGCCAGAAACTGTTCAGGTGCTTAATGGATTTGCTGACTCCAAACGATGGATGCTCATCAGAGAGATCTCAGGAGCCTACCAAGTTGCCACCCAAAAACAGAAATGGTTATCACATGCTACAGGTTTATGCCCACACTGTAACATGGAAGACAGCCGTTTTCACAGACTTATGGAATGTCCTCTGGGGTCAGACGTCCGACAGCATTACCAACCTCTCCTTGAAGTTTTGATTGAAGAGGAATCACTGCTGCCGTATTACCCAGTAATCACAGTGCATCCAGACGCAGAGGCAATCACTTTGTTGCAGTTTCAGTTGCCAGAAGCAGTATGGAGTGAAAATGTTCTGCAAAAAGTCAGGGAAAAACAGGATAACAACGAAACACTCCACTGGTTCACAGATGGTTCTTGCATGCTGCCTTGTCAGGTAGGTTCCAGTTTTTCAGCATTTACAGTCATTCTTGATTTGTGCCAATCAGATGATGAACGATGCCTAGTTGCTGATCAGTTCCGTGACTCTCCAGTGAACGTGCCATCATTGCAGATAGCATGCGTGGCCAGAAGCCAAGGGGAACAGGACATTCTCCGTGCAGAAACCTGGGCCATCCTGGCCATTGCTGAAAATGTAGGGTCTGGGGTTGTTCATTCAGATAGCCAAACTGCAATTAATAACGCCCGTAAAGCCCTCACAGCTTTTTCTCCTAGTGACTTTGCCACTTGTGAACACATGGACTTGCTTTGCCGTCTCTGGCAAATTCGACATGATGTGAATCTGGAGCTTGTCAAGGTTAAAGCTCACCAATGCATCCGTACCATTCCCGACCCTTTGTTGCGGTATTGGGCTATGGGGAATGATTTTGCAGACAGTACAGCACAGCATGCATGCCTTTACATGATGCCAGATTTTGTCAGCACAATGCAGAGGAAACATGCAGAGGTTTCCAAGGATCAGAAAAACCTTGAGATCGTTTGCTGTTTACATGTGGAACTGCAAGAAGTTCGTGCCAAAGCCACGATACAAAACCCAGAAGAGAATCAGGTAGTTCAACATGATCACCGTGCCATTTGTGAAGCTTACAGTAACTGGACAATCAGCAGGACTCCTTATGTTTTCCCAGAGGCAGACCTACAGTTTGTTGCAGACTGTGCATTTGGTAATGAGATTGCGCTTGAAACCTACGAATGGATGAAAAAGTTAACCTGGCCTTCCACTGATGATGGTCCTTTGGGTTTCAATACGGGGGTAACTTGGATTGAACTGGGTTTGTCATGGATGTTGCACAATCAGCGTTATATGCCAGTGCTACGAAAAGACAACTTAGGAATCATGCGCCTTCTTTACCCTGCAGACTATGTATCAGCAAAGGACAAAGGTTTTACATACGTTGAAGCTGGAACAATGATGCAACGGATCACTGACAATTTGACAAGCTTGATTCCCGGCCCAGTCTGGCCGGATGACACGCTGAGACAGAAAGTCAGTGCAATCTACAGACTTGGTGCACATCGCTTTCATCAAGGGATCAATAAACGGCCGTCATTTCCTTTTCAATCTGAAGTGGTTGACATTCTTCAGAAGTCAGTGAGCTGCGGGCAAACTGATGGACTTTCGGCAACTCCGAGTGTCGACTGTGTTCGGAGACAGGAGGAAGTGGCAAAGGGAACTTGGCAGTTTAGAGTCGATAAGGCAAAGCTGGCCATGAAAAGGGTCAGAGCCAAACGGCTCCTTTGTAGCTAGTTGCTTTTGGGACATTTGGGACTTCGCTCGCGTTGAGTGCTGCCTTAGGCTGCGGCCCGGGGTGGTGCTCCCTTTCTTCAAGGAAATAGCTACTTTCAGGGTAGTGAAATATATGATTAAGCGAGACAACATATGGAATTTAATATCAAAGTTCCAAGATTAGTTGCTGTATAATACTGCATATCTTTCAGGTGTGTTCGTGACTGAGGTTTCTCGGTTTCTTTGTCCTTGGGGTGAAGATAATACCAGAGCAATGTCCAGAAACTCTGGTGGTTGATGGTTATATGGGGTTGTAACAACTGGTTGAACAGTTCTTATATGGATTATAATGGATCATAAATGATTATAATATCTAGATGGATTAAAGATGCATTTTTGTCTTTTTTCCATATGCTGTATGTATGATTTATAAATAAATTGATATATATATATTTATGATAATACGGGGTCATATCGGAATTGGAGAATTTAATATGATATGACTAATCTAAACCCATATCTTTCGGGATGACACTGAACTTTCACTTAACTGTTTCGTGGATTTCAGTCGATTTGCAACTCGTTGAACTTAGGTTTACTTCGTCCTGATCCAATTTCTACGGATCCCTGAGCTGTTGCTCCTTCCCGCAGACTTGGAACAGTTGAACCCATCGGACACGCCGGAAACGCCTTGGGGCCTGGTTTTTAGCCTGTTCATCACAGTGGATCTGCTGGGCGTTTGCATTGGTGCCATCTTTTTGAGGATGTGGGGCAGCACTCGAGCCACTGGGATTTTGCAGATGAGTTGATGGGATTTTGTGGAGAATATGACATATGGACGCTGCTTGGGGGTACAGTTGGGGTTGTTGTTTTTTTAATGGAGATATGCATGCCCCACAAGTCCACAAGTTGTTTGTTCAAAAAGTGTCAAGCTTTTCCTGGGCGGCGGCGATCTCAGTTGCAACCACAAGACCAGCAGCATTAATGGGAGAACAAAGATTTAATGGCGAACAAACATGGACTCCTTTGTTGTACGCACCTGACATATATATATATATATATACCCTCTGGTAAACGTTTACATAACTATGGAAAGATCCACCATTTTCAATGTGTAAATCCACTATATATTTCTATGGCCATTTTCAATAGCTATGTTAGTCATTACCAGAGGGTTTATATATGAACCACCCGTGAAACATTCGTTTTTTCCGAAGCTTGTCCAGATGTTCCAGGTGGGGAATGGGTTTTGCTATGGCCTTCCACCTTTATCCACCTTTATTTTATGCTGTTTTTTTTAAGTAGCAACATGTAGCAACATCATGAGACAACATATTACAAAATCGATGGGAACTGGGAACGTAGTTCGTATCTTCCCTTCTGAACTTCTGAATGACATTTTAGAGGCAACGAAACAGAATGATATCCCAGATCATCTCTGGCATGTTTACATATATAGAAGTTTATTCGATATTGTTCTCCAACCATGGCACATTCACGTAATTCTGAACAGGCCAGCATGCAACAGCAGATCGACCAGTTTTCGTTCGAAAGCGCTGCGTGTCACGATGAAAATGATCGTTTCTCGGCAGGTTTACTTGCTCGTTCCAGAGTTGGGAGCTAAAGGTTTATAAATGCTTCTTGACATATACCCTGACCCTGACTCTCAAAGGACACCAAAACTTGGTATATAAAGACAAGGTAGTTCCCGGCGCCAGAGCAGAAATTTGCTTTCATAAGTTTCTCTTTAAAACTAAAAGTTGTTGGGAGGTTTGCTTTTTTCTCGTCCCATGCGGGGTGCAAACGGCTCCCATTGATACTGGTATGTTGCAGCTCCTGTAGATGCAACACGAGCAGTGTTTCGTTGGAGTCAAATTGGGACAATCTTAAGGAGTGTTGATGGTAATATCATGTAATATCCAGCCTTAAGATGTCAAAGGAAGAAATTGACCTCTGGTAAACAAACAGTTTGCTATTGAAAATGGTGATTTATAGTGGATTTACCCATAAAAAAAGGTGGGTCTTTCCATAGTTATGTTAGTTTACCAGAGGGTAAGAGGTGAAGGAACTGATGAATCGATCCCTGCGGCATGGATCCTTATATGGCTACTCGTAATCGTAGTGGTGCCCGGTGTTCGATGAGGTGCTTCATCAACATAGCTAGGGTAAAAGGTAGATAGAGAGATATATATATACACATACTGTATGTGTGTATATATATACTGTATATAAATTATATATATACATACTGTATGTGTATATATATATACTGTATATAAATTATATATATATGGCTAATAACGGTGATCTTTTAAACCAGCAGTCACATCGCTCGGGTTCGCACGCACCGGAAGCGCCAAACTGTGGATCATTCGGCAGGTGTTCAGATCTTGAGCGCCATCAAAAAGTTTGCACGGTAAGAAGGACTTGTAAGGGATGATGCTGCAACGAAGGAATCTGGGTGATGAATTCACTGAAACACTGAAGGAAAAGATGGGCTACATATATATATATATATATATACATGTATATATGTATATATACTGTATATATATATATATACATATTGTAGTACATCCAGTAAGTAACAAGATATCGGGATATCATGGGATTTTTTACATGCATAGAATTTCATGAGAAGGACTATCATGGGAATGACATGGATAGCTATGATATTTGGGTCCAAAAATGGCGGATTTAACCCCCAAGGTGCTGGGAATCTAGTTTTAGGAGCCATCTAGCAGGAGATCAACAAAACACCAACCATGGGGAATTGAGAAACAAACGACAGAAGTCAGTAATTCAAAAGATGATCTCACCATCTCTCACCTAGGATTTGTGATCCTTGTGATAGACATTGAGAAAGACCATTTCCGGGCGAATGATGACCTCTGAACTGCCGACTTCACGGCAAATGATCCGGATATATACTTTTGGGGAATCAGCCCTATTCCATTACTACTTAGTGGGATAAGTATAATATGTTGTTCTACAAACTGTTATATTTAATGGTGTTCTATATTATATATATATATATTCTAACTAACTGGTTAGATGGGGGTGGATCTCACAACTACCAATGCCAAAAAAGGCTATGGTGAATTTAATGTTTCTGTCAGATTTATCAAGCTGCTCAGGCATGTATCAAGAGCTACGAAATCATCGTGCGGAGCATTTTGCCAAGGACGCTGACAGGGTGGAACTGGACTGCCAACGTATAGTGAAAAGATAATTTGTGAAAGGTTTCACCCTTTGGTAACTTAACATAGCAATGACAAATAGATGCAAATAGCCATTTCAAATATTTCTAATGTACATCTATATAGATACATATCTAGTAAGTTCAAATAATCATAGCTATAATATTATATAAGTAAGTGGAAGTTCCAGGAAGTCACGCTCAATGGGTTCTACCCGTAGTTGGTGGTTGCGGATATTTCTTCCTATTTGGGATGATGATAGCCATGTAACAGCAGGGCTAATCTGTAACCATTTTGATGGATCCAAATACATTGACCTATGGTGTATATATCTATATTATATTATATTATATATATCTATGGTGTATATCTATTTTTTTTTCGAAACTGGCAGCTACCACTGCAGAAACGTACTCAATTGTTTGAGTCGCTGGTCTTGAGCAAGCTATTGTATGGGGCGGAGACATGGGTTGCTATGGATGACAAGACGGAGAAAACCTTCAATGCGGCCATTCTTCGACTCTATCGCAGGTTACTCCCCATCCCGGCTGACCAACACCTCTCTGACGAGGCCATCCTTTCACAAGTGTTGCTTCCAAGCCCGACGGAACTTCTTCGCCGAGCTCGTTTACGATATGTGGCAACGCTCTTGCACTGTGGAGATCGAAATGAATGGGGCCTCATTGAAAAAGACCGACCATGGATCCTCTCGGTTGAAGATGACATGTGCTGGGTCTGGAATCAACTACGACACTGTTCTCACCTTCAAGATCCTCAACAGCATTGGCAACAATGGGTTGACATTATTGTCCACCATCGCTCTTACTGGCGCAGACTCGTCCGCAGAGCGATTGAACATGCTATTGGTCAGCGACGCAACACATGGCACATCCAAGAGTTTCACTCAGCAATTCTTCAAGAACTTCGCGCTTTCTTTGACTACACGCCACATCAACAGCGAGATGAAGCAGAATGCGTTGGATTCTTTGGATGTCTTCATTGCAGAAAGATCTGCAAGAATAGTGCGGGAGAAGCGGCTCACATGTTCAAGGTGCACGGCCATGCTGCAACACGCCGCACCCTGGTTGACGGTACCTGCTGCCCAGCATGTTTGCGGGAATACCACACAATGGAGAAGATTGTTGCGTACCTGTACTATTCGTCGAGATGTCGACAGATTCTACAGAGCCGCAACTATGCCAATGAACCAATCCCGGGAGCCGGCTCCAGCATTGACAGAGCTAGAGTTCTTCAACATGATCGTCTGCTTCCGCCGCTCCAGACGGCAGGACCACATTTGCCCTTGCCCAGAATGAGGCAAGATCCGGGCATCGACACCGACCTGCATTTGGCCTGTGTGGAAGCTTTCTTGATCTTTCTTGGACGCTGATGATTTGGAGAAGGCGATCGCGCGCATTAAGCAGCTCGGTGATGAGCGGCCTATTTCCTGGACAATTTGGAGGAAAACCATGGACTTCTTTGTGGACGCTCTTGCAGAGACGGACGTGTTAAAGTTTGACGTGACCCTTGTGGAGGTCCAGAAGATGCTTCGCGAGATGAACGATCCACAAACATGGGATTTTGAACAATGTGGACGAGATTGCCCTTCGACGCTGCCCCACTTGGAGCAGGAATGCAAAGACATTGCTGTGACCGAATGGCGCCAGGACCGGTACATCCCAAGGCAATTTGGCAAGCACCGTGTCTTATTACATCTATTTGCTGGCCGCCGAAGGAAAGGCGACATTCAGTTCTTCCTGGATGCGATGCCGGCACCGGCCAATTTTGTCCTTCATGTGGTTAGTATTGACATAGTGATTGACGCAACTTGGGGCAACGTCATGGACCAGCAGACGAGGCGCTACTGGCTCAACCTTGCCCACCGGAAGTTCATCATAGGATTTGTCGCAGGCCACCCGTGCGAAACTTGGTCCGAGGCTCGAGGACGCACAGTGGACCCTATGAAGCTTCAGGGACGACCTCTACCTCGAGTTGTCCGCACCGCGGAACATTTATGGGGCCTTCCAAGTCTTTCACTTAAGGAGATATCTCAGGTCTTCACAGGCAACTGCTTGCTGACGTTCACGCTGCACATGGCATGCATCATGATCATCATTGGGGGCTTGGGTATTGTGGAACACCCAGCGGAGCCAGATGAGGAGGATGCAGCATCCATCTGGCGCCTGCCAGTGGTTCAGGCGCTTTTGGCAGCACCAGGAGTGCAGAAGAGAAGATTGTCGCAAGGCCTGTTTGGCGCGATGTCGCCGAAACCAACAGATCTCCTAGTCATCAACCTTCCAGACCTACCTAGAGATTTGAGGCAATGGATGACCCGCAGTGAGTTGCCCCGCTCTAGAGCTATCGGTCTCGACAGCAAAGGCTGTTGGAAACAGGGTATCTGAAGGAGTACCCGCCTGCGATGTGCGGAGCACTCGCGAATGCTTTGCGCAAAGGCATGGATTGCCTTCGCGTTGAACCATGTGCTGAGCCACTTCAGGCAGACGTACAGAGATGGTGTGATCTCACGGCAACTGACTTTGGGACACACCTGGGAACAGACTTTGCCAAGTGAGCCACGGCACAGAATTCATATTGAGAGAACCGGTCGCTGCGCACTGCAACAACAGACCGTTGGGAAAAAACAAGTTAATGGGCTTATAAACCAATTTATATCTGAGCGGATCACCACATTGCCTAGAAGATCGGGCTTTTTCGCAGGATGGCTGGATACCTAAGATTGGCGGTGAAACAAAAAAATAGGGAAACCTAGTCAGAAAGCAGGAAACCAGCGGTAGGAAGGCAGTTCACATTCTTCTGCTGTCTCAGAGTTCTCCCTCCAAGGATTCCACACTGCTCCGGTTGACACTCCTTTGATGGCCTCCGCCCTCCAAATTTCAGATGTTGATTCCTGGAAAGAATCAGTTTGCTGGACTCAGAGTCAGATTTATTCTATATTTTACAGGGATCAGCCAGCTCAGCCGACAAATTAGTGCACCAGTCTAGTTCTGAATCCAACCTCTCCCCTTATATAAGGGGATTCCAAATTGACTAGATCCTCCACCTTTTCTACCAGGCTTCTGGAGCTCCCCTCTGGTTATTTAACATAGCCATGGTATAGATGATCGAAATAGATGGTTTACCGTTCTTAAAAATGGTGATTTTCCATGGCGAACTGTTAAATAGCCAGATGGTAATCTTTGGAAGGAAAACTCAGTCTTCACGACACCTTAATTGCTCCACAAGTAGCCACGGGACTCCAAAACCTCTGGCCCCAGCCCAGCCAAGCATGTGGACTTCACCACCATTAACTTAAGAGACAATGCGGAGTTGCTGAAGAAACAAAGTATTTTATTATATAAGCACTTTGGTTGCAAAAATGCAGTTGCGAAGTTTATCTTCAGAGACAACAGAAAACTGAGGATCAACAAAAATGTTTGCAGGCAAAATGCCTGAATCTTACCATCAATCCCATATGCTCCATGTATGGAATATTTACCAACATTTACCCTAAAAATCACCCAAATGTAGGTAAATATACCATACATTGAGCATATGGGAATATAGGGACATGTTTCAAGAAAGACACAAGCTTTGCCTTCCAGCTACGGAAAAAGGGGGCTTTTGTGAATGGGACTTCGACCAATTATGGGAAGTAAGGAATCCTGACATTGACCGATTGACGGCCACCAACAAAATCCATGCAATAAATGACGAAGTGGTATAGCTACAAGCCAAATACCCTCTGGTTATGTCAAAATAGCTATGGAAAATGGCAATTTATAGTGGTAACTTAACATAGCTATTGAAAATGGCGCTAGAAATAGTGAATTTTCCCATTAAACATGGTGATTTTCCAGTTCGTTATGTAAACGTTTACCAGAGGGTAAGCCATACAGTTTGGCTAATATGCTAATACTGGAGAGCGTTTGCAAATCTTTCATGACGACATGACTGCTTAATACTACTTGGTTTATACAATTTTATACAGCTTATGCCCAAGAAAAACAGGGAAAGCCGACATTGATGAATAGATTGATGTGGGTAGACCATTTGCCGATAATTTTTGGCGTTTTCATGTGTCTATTTCCAAGTTCGCCTGGAATGAGTGCTAGACTAGTAGCCCTTTGGGATGAAATACGCCCTTCTCAGGGTTGCTTCCACCCATCAAAGGTTTGTAACAGCCACCTAAGGGTGGACAATTGCTGCCTTTTCCTGTGGGGAACTTGCCTCCAGGAGAATGAAGCACGCCTTCCAGCTCACCGGGATTCCATGTCAAGTGGCTTTCCTCATCGCGTTGCCATGCCTCAGCGCTGTGCTGGACCACTCCGCCGTCCATCTGCGAATGTCGCTGCACGACGACAACGGTGGGGCCGTGCTGGAGACGGTGGCAGAGGTGTTGAAGATTGCCGCCAAAGAGCTTTGCGTGCCAATAGCCGTTGGACTGGTGGGTATTTTCAGTGGAATCAGAAGAGACTCGGAGTTGTCTAGGCACTGAACGATTTTGATGATTTTTGAATATGTTTGATTTCTGGAAAGCGCACCACCCTATGTAGATTGTGCATGGTTTGCCATGGGCCATAGTCAAAAGTTGGATTATACCCCATATTGGGAAATGGCCATCAATCAATCAATAGTCTTTTTTAATACCCATTCCAAGAAAACTCTAGTGATGGTGGGATGACCATATACCAAATATATACCATCTCTAGAGCATGGCACGTTTTTTTTGCAGTCAGAGATACACACCTGGACACTAGTCTCCATACAGATATGTACATTCAGTTTAGTTGAACATCGTAGATAGAACACTTTGATGTCATTTTCTAGTGATATATTCTTTGTCACAGGAAAAGGAGTGATTGTATCCTAGTGATATGTCCTAGTGATTATATTTAATGTTCATTGTTATCTAGTGATATATTATAGTGTTTACATAAGAATGTTGATTGAATCCTCAGCACCCACGTTGAGGAGGCAGCGTATGTTTCGAAGTGCTCTGCACCTTCGCTTGCTTCGTTCTTCTGGCCCTGGGATTCTGGGCATCTCTGGGCCGATGACTGGTTGGTGGTTGGTGGTTTGGAACATGTTTTATAACTTTCCATATATTGGGAATTTCATAATCCCACCCACCTGGCTAATATTGTTCAGAAGGGTTGAAACCACCAACCAGATGATGATGATGATGATGATGATGATGATGATGAGGATGTACGCAACCGAGCTTGGGTTATTATCCACCCCTAATACAAAACCAGCAGAAAAAGAGATTGACTGACGACCAAGAGGAAGTCCCCGTGCAACGCCAAGCGAAGGCCACCATAAGCCAGTGAAGACTCAACCTGAACGTCTATGAAAGCACCAAAAACTGAAATACATCTCTCACGCTTGCACCATGGGCAGTGCACCTTCAAACCTTTCACCAGTTGGACGTACTGTTCACCAGACAAGGAAGGATCAGGTGCCTCAGGAAGCATGCATTTTGATCCAATCAGCGACCTGGGGGTGACCCAATGATATCCCAATCGGTAAAGGTTTTTTCTAACCGCCAACAGCCAACTGGCAGAAGTGAACAGCTATCAGCTATCATATTTTGATGATATTTTGTGTACCACCATCCTACGCCAGTTGTGGTTCAAATTTGAGGAAACAAACACTGCCAATGTTTTTTGAATGTCACCAGGAGCACCCATGAGGAAGCTGCAATTCTTGTGGGCTGCTGCTTCTTCATGGGTCATCCACGATGCACCTTCTACCTTTCATGAATGGCTCAAAACGAGCTTCCTGTGATGTCACTAGAAATGATTGTAACAGCAACAACTTTCCCAGTTCATGACCTCTTGAGCTTGGTGGCTGCTTAGAAAATTCCTCCGCATTTTTTTTGGGGGGAAATCCATGGTTCACCAGTGGATGTAGGGCTACCCGGTAATCAAATGTGGCGATTGTCCCATAAACCTCCATGGTTTTAGAGGGGAATTTCCCAGCTAGCTACGTTTGATTACATACTATGCATATTTAATCTGACTGGTTGGTGGTTTGGAACATGAATGAACAATTTTCCATATATTGGGAATAGGAACCCCAACTGACTTTTTTTAATTTTTTCAGAGGGGCTGAAACCACCAACCAGACTATAAGTACATCATTTCTGTCCTATCCCTTTCTCCCAGGACTATGGCTCCCCCAGTCTCCGATGATGCCCGACATCGAAACTGTTATGCCATCCACTGACGTTCGATGCGTCGTGTTGGGACTCACTCTCCTATTGCAACTTATCTTACAGATCAAACAGATTTTATGTCTCGTATTTGTTACTGGCTTTGTTGAAACGCCATTTATCCAAGTGAAACTCAGCTTTTTTGGGATTAGCTGGGTTTGCCATGCATATCATGTACATAATATATCCAACATGATCCAACTAAAACCAGATAAATCTTCGCAAAGAATCGACGTCAAAACCACCCAGGCAGTGCGTTGTCATTTTGGGCATCTACGGGCGTTCCTGCTGCAAGTGAGCACCGTAGGGTGCGAAAATTTTCATGGCGCAGCAAGTAGCGACTGCAGAGCAGAAAAATGAAGCATAGTAGCTCCACATTTCATCTGTTACAGTTTTATCACTGATTTTGTTTACAATATGGTTTTTGTGTATGTTGGTGTCACGTTGGTTTTTTTTCTGCTCAAAAACCTGTTCTGTTTATCGATCATTTTTGTGACGGGATTAGTCCTCCAAGTCTTCACCGACGCCGCATTTGGGTGACGATACAGTCGTGATTTCGGCTGAGCAACGGAAAAACGTCTGACTGATACTCCATGGTACTGGAAATAAAACTGGATTAAGACACTGTAGAGCGAAACATGAGCCAGATGAGCCAGATGTCTACGATAAATTTACCATACATGGAGCATGGGTATGTTACTTGTGTTTCACAAACTGCTTCGAGGTTTGCTGTTGGATGTTGGATGCCTTTCAGCTTGACATCCTGACAAGGTGAAACCCGACCGGAAACGGACCAGTTAGTTAAAAGGATAGATAAAAAGTTGCAAGATGCCCAAGTCAGAAATGCTGTAATGAAGATTGCAAATGGGAAATTCTATGTGCATAGGTTACATACGTATTACCATATTATCTTCCAGCCACGGTGCATTGCAACGTATTCCAACTCAATTGTTCTGGATCCATGTTAGGGAAAATGCTGGTTATATGACATATAGATATTATACATGGTGAAATATGAATAAATATGATAGAATACAGTTCAACATGTTCAACATACATACTTGTATAATCGTGTATACATACATACACACACATACACACATACACACATACACACATACACAAACATACATACATACATACATGCATGCATGCATACATACATACATACATACATACATACATACATACATACATACAAACATACACACATACATACATTGATGTATACTTTATTAATCATGCACATCTATTGATCTATATTGTTTCTCTCTATCTATCTATTCTAAATGTCTATCTATCTACCTATCTATTTCTATTTATCTATCTTTCCATCTAAGGTATGTATCAATCTATCTATCTATCTATCCATCCATCCATCCATGCATGCATCTATTCTATCTATCTATCTATCTACCTATCTACCTATCTACCTATCTACCTATCTACCTATCTACCTATCTACCTATCTACCTATCTATCTATCTACCTATCTACCTATCTACCTATCTACCTATCTACCTATCTACCTATCTATCTTTCTATCTATCTATCTAATCTAATCTAATCTAAATCTAATCTAATCTAATCTATCTATCTATCTATCCATCCATCCATCTATCTATCTATCTATCTCTCTCTCTCTCTCTCTTTCTGTGATTTGCAGCATCAGGTATCATCCTAGTAACCTTTCTTTCGTAAGATGCAGGCATCCAATATCCATCAATATCCTGCGATTTGTGGCCCGCTCTGACCCTACGTCGAAGACGTTGATCGTTGCGGTCCAAAGTTTTTCAGCCTGACCTGAGGTCCGGTCGAACAGAGGTGGATATGGACGGACAATTCATTGACGTTGGTTTATCAGGTGGTGATGGTTGGGATACAAACGGTATTTGCATAATAGAAATATATGATTATATTTGCATATTTACATTTGTATATAATACTGTATATATAATATAATGTAATACAATATGATATGATATAATTTAATATATACAATATAATATAATACAATATAGTATAATATACTATAATATACTATAGTATAATACAATATGATATAATATAATATAAGATATAATATATACAATATATAACATATAATACATGTAGAGTGAGATCCGTACTCATGCACAATAAGGCTCATGTAGCGTCCACGCATAATATAGTTGTACAATTTTCTTGTGCAGAACCCTTGAGTTGGCTCAGGCAGTAGCCAAACAATTGCAAAACAAGGCGAAACAATACAATTGATTGAGTGCGCGGCACTTGCACAGTGAGATTTTACAAGATAGAGTCTAGACAGATAGACAGATGGATAGATAGATTGATAGATCGATGGATACATAGATCTATAAATCCATAGAGAGATAGAATCAGAGAATATCAGAGATATATCTGGAGGTAGATGAGAAATAGAGATAGAACTAAAGACAGACAAACAGACAGACAGGCAGACAGACAGACAGAGATTAGAGTAGATTAGGTTAGATTAGGCTAGATGAATTAGATTAGATTAGATTAGATAGATAGATAGACAGATAGACAGATAGGCAGATAGACAGATAGATATATAGACCGATAGACGGATAGATAGATATATATATATACAGATAGATAGGTATGCAGGCAGGTAGATATCTGAGCAATTGACATACATACAATAGCTAGATATAGAATTTGATATTTATATATACATGGAACATAGACAGATCAACAGATAGTTCAGAAAGTAGATTGTTTTGGTAGACATACAATATTGAGTCATGAGGATTTGTCTATGTAATATGTTTGTCGTCCAGGGATACTGAGTGTTTCAAACCTTCAGAAGTTCACTTTGGGCTTAGGGAAGCTGAATCTTTCACATACACATTTGTGAGTAGAGGAACCATTGCTATCTGACAGGTTTTACAATGTACACATAGAGTTGGGTTTGTGTGAGCTTGGGCAATAATCCACTAAAATTGATAGTGAATCATCAACTTGTCCCACTAGCACTAACAGACCTTCATATGACATAATATAATAAAACATATCTGAACCTTGCAATGTTTCAAACTTCCCACTCCAATTTCTAGGTCAAGACTTCCAACAGGTCGCGTTGCAACTTTGATTCCAGGTCACCTTCCTGATCTGAAAATGATTTTCCCACCTGTAATGACACCTGAGGGTACGCATCCCGCTGCCAAAAACATCCCTTGATTTCCCAACGTGGAGGTTGGACCAACTCTTCACCTGTCGCACTTTTCATCCTTCGCACATCGCAGACTTCGCCTCGGACCCGCGCTTGGATGCTTTGTTGGTAAAAAAATAGTGAATCTGGGGGCAGAGGGTTGCTGCAATTCAATCCGTGCAACGCTACATGATTCCGTTGAAGGGAAATGTCGGGAAGTGAAATTGTCGATGTGTCATAGGACCGGCGCAAGACCTTGTGGAATTTCCATAACAATTAATGTATCTAGCACGCAGGCTGCCTTCATTGGCTGCCTGGCATCCAAGGTTCAATCCATCCGGTTACTGCTGTGGGCAACTCCCAGGGTAGGGATGGAAAAGGACTGTTGAAAACCAGCAGCAACTCTACCTATGCCAACGTGAGTAATTTTGCCACATGTAAATCAGATAGATGATCTGAAGATATCCGAACAATCAAACAAACATGGCTTCAAAACTAGGAACATGGAAGATGGAACATGTGGATTTATTGATGTCGCGTGTTTCATTAAAGTTCAGTTTGACGGATACACCAGGATAACCTGCCGTTCTTAGAATCATGTTTGATTCTTCAAAGATATACACAGACAGTGGGTGCCATGTGTCCTCTATAACCATTACAGTACTGGGGGCACAAGCACGATGTGGACCACCGACCATCCATCAATCTGGTGAAAACGCGCGTCATTTTGTCCAAAACATGCTGAAAAAACCACGGGGAAAGCACAGCCAAGAGCTGCTACAGTTTGGTTTGTAAGCGTGCCATGCCCTGCTGAAACTTCACATGGAACCAACGCTAGTTTGAATACTTGCCTAATTGGTGGTTTCAACCAACCCCCCAGAAACATAGTAGTCAGATTGGATCATCATCCCAACGATTGGGGAAAATAATCCATTCATGTTCCAAATCACCAACCAGTTACTTTTGTTTGAACACTGATATCTTGTCAGAGATGGTGTCGGAACTTGATGAACCGCGGTTCCACGGTTCCACAATTTCTCGGGCATGGCGTACAATATCTTGATGTGTTGGATGGTGTCAAACGCACCGCTGTGACATGGTCAGTCCTGACCAAAGATTCAAACATGACAGTGGAATGGACGAGAAGAATGGAGAGTGTCGTATCACCGTATCACCTGTGCTTTCTGGGCAACTGAACGGGGATTCACCCCATCAAATAACAATTTCAGTGGGACAAGTTGATGATTCACTATCAATTTTAGTGGATTATTGCCCAAGCTCACACAAACCCAACTCTATGTGTACATTGTAAAACCTGTCAGATAGCAATGGTTCCTCTACTCACAAATGTGTATGTGAAAGATTCAGCTTCCCTAAGCCCAAAGTGAACTTCTGAAGGTTTGAAACACTCAGTATCCCTGGACGACAAACATATTACATAGACAAATCCTCATGACTCAATATTGTATGTCTACCAAAACAATCTACTTTCTGAACTATCTGTTGATCTGTCTATGTTCCATGTATATATAAATATCAAATTCTATATCTAGCTATTGTATGTATGTCAATTGCTCAGATATCTACCTGCCTGCATACCTATCTATCTGTATATATATATATATCTGTCTATCCGTCTATCGGTCTATATATCTATCTGTCTATCTGCCTATCTGTCTATCTGTCTATCTATCTAATCTAATCTAATCTGATCTAATTCATCTAGCCTAATCTAACCTAATCTACTCTAATCTCTGTCTGTCTGTCTGCCTGTCTGTCTGTTTGTCTGTCTTTAGTTCTATCTCTATTTCTCATCTACCTCCAGATATATCTCTGATATTCTCTGATTCTATCTCTCTATGGATTTATAGATCTATGTATCCATCGATCTATCAATCTATCTATCCATCTGTCTATCTGTCTAGACTCTATCTTGTAAAATCTCACTGTGCAAGTGCCGCGCACTCAATCAATTGTATTGTTTCGCCTTGTTTTGCAATTGTTTGGCTACTGCCTGAGCCAACTCAAGGGTTCTGCACAAGAAAATTGTACAACTATATTATGCGTGGACGCTACATGAGCCTTATTGTGCATGAGTACGGATCTCACTCTACATGTATTATATGTTATATATTGTATATATTATATCTTATATTATATTATATCATATTGTATTATACTATAGTATATTATAGTATATTATACTATATTGTATTATATTATATTGTATATATTAAATTATATCATATCATATTGTATTACATTATATTATATGGATTATTTTCCCCAATCGTTGGGATGATGATCCAATCTGACTACTATGTTTCTGGGGGGTTGGTTGAAACCACCAATTAGGCAAGTATTCAAACTAGCGTTGGTTCCATGTGAAGTTTCAGCAGGGCATGGCACGCTTACAAACCAAACTGTAGCAGCTCTTGGCTGTGCTTTCCCCGTGGTTTTTTCAGCATGTTTTGGACAAAATGACGCGCGTTTTCACCAGATTGATGGATGGTCGGTGGTCCACATCGTGCTTGTGCCCCCAGTACTGTAATGGTTATAGAGGACACATGGCACCCACTGTCTGTGTATATCTTTGAAGAATCAAACATGATTCTAAGAACGGCAGGTTATCCTGGTGTATCCGTCAAACTGAACTTTAATGAAACACGCGACATCAATAAATCCACATGTTCCATCTTCCATGTTCCTAGTTTTGAAGCCATGTTTGTTTGATTGTTCGGATATCTTCAGATCATCTATCTGATTTACATGTGGCAAAATTACTCACGTTGGCATAGGTAGAGTTGCTGCTGGTTTTCAACAGTCCTTTTCCATCCCTACCCTGGGAGTTGCCCACAGCAGTAACCGGATGGATTGAACCTTGGATGCCAGGCAGCCAATGAAGGCAGCCTGCGTGCTAGATACATTAATTGTTATGGAAATTCCACAAGGTCTTGCGCCGGTCCTATGACACATCGACAATTTCACTTCCCGACATTTCCCTTCAACGGAATCATGTAGCGTTGCACGGATTGAATTGCAGCAACCCTCTGCCCCCAGATTCACTATTTTTTTACCAACAAAGCATCCAAGCGCGGGTCCGAGGCGAAGTCTGCGATGTGCGAAGGATGAAAAGTGCGACAGGTGAAGAGTTGGTCCAACCTCCACGTTGGGAAATCAAGGGATGTTTTTGGCAGCGGGATGCGTACCCTCAGGTGTCATTACAGGTGGGAAAATCATTTTCAGATCAGGAAGGTGACCTGGAATCAAAGTTGCAACGCGACCTGTTGGAAGTCTTGACCTAGAAATTGGAGTGGGAAGTTTGAAACATTGCAAGGATCTGAATATGTTTTATTATATTATGTCATATGAAGGTCTGTTAGTGCTATAGGCTATAGGCATACACCACAAGATGTCGGTTCGCCCACCCAAGGTCACAGGTGCCCTTTATATAAAGGGCTTGGTCCGTTGCAACGCCATGAAAGCATCACCTCTTAGTTTGCAACGACCGTCACAAGAAAAACACGTCTTGGGAAGTACACAGGGAGACAATGAGAGAGAGTAGAACTGTATAAAACTGTATAAGTACGAGTTTCCGAAAATCATTGGGATATATGTAAGAATTCACCATATCATACAATGTCCGTGATCATGATTCATTTGGACATGTACTTGTCTATGATCGAACAAGCGTCCAAGAAAAGAGGTTACAGGTTTACGCTGCTAGGGACCCACACGTTTGGGTTTATGGGTATATTTCCAATCGAATTTCCCTGTAGTGCGGTAAATGCCCAAAACGTTTAAACCTCAAAACTATGACTAAACCTTCAAGTAGGTGAACAATCCGTAGCACCTTCTCTAAGAATCCCAAGGACCAACACCCTGCGACGCAAACGCGGGTTGATGGTAGATTATGGTAGATTCATTCTTTGTGAGGTCCTATTTTCCTGAATGTTCACCCTGAAAATAGGAGGAATGATTCCATAGATGAAGCATGATGAAGCATTTTTTGGAATCTCCTGCGGTAAATCTCAGTAGCTATGCTTTCCAACATGTTCCAACACCTAACTGGCTCAAGCTCGTGAGAACTGCGTCGGTTGCGGTCGTTCAGAACGGACTAGTTGAACCAGGTGCGAATCTGGGCTGGCAATGTATGAAGCATATATGTTGGTAGCATCATATAAAACTGGTTGGTGGTTTGGAACATTTTTGTATTTTTCCATAATATATGGGAATAATCCTTCCCATTGGCTTTCATATTCTTCAAGATGATTGAAACCACCAACCAGATATATGTTGGTAGCATCATATAAAATATGGCAATGGCTCAAAGCGATCTCCCCATTGTTGGGGATGCCGCAACCGCCCGGAGGCACTACACGTCGGAGGTGCGGGGCCCGAGCGATCCAAGGGGGGAAGCTCTGGCTAACCCGGAATTTGTGGGAAATAACTCTTTGATACATAATAGATATATATATATATATACACACACAAAAATTATATATGATTATATATAGAGGCAAATTGGTACTTATAACATAACTATAGTCAAGATATCCTGGTTGGTGGTTTGGAAAATGATTTTTATTTTTCCATATATTGGGAATAACAGCCCCATTTGACTTTCATATTTTTCAGAGGGGTTGAAACCACCAACCATACAGGATGGTGCCCCCCAGTTATAAGTTGGTTTATAAACCCCAATAACTATAGTTATATCTGCCATAAACCATAGTTATGGGAGTTATAAACTACTGTAGTGACTGTAGTGACCTGACTTTAACCTCACTTGAATCATCGTTTTTGGAGAATCAACCCCAGCCATGGCCGAACTTTTCAACTTGATGAAATATCATAATTTACCCAGATATATGGGGGATTCCATGGAATTCCGGAAAGGGGGGGATCTCCAAGTCAGCGTGGGTTCCATACTACAATGGTCTAAGGACTGGCTGATTTGGGGACCCCTATTTTAGGAAACCTCCATATGGAAAATCACCATGTTTAATGCTAGGATAATAGGTACGTCATCCATACATGGACCATTTTCTATGTCTATGTATTAGTTGACCGGGGGGTATTTAGACTGGATTAGTTGACGAAGATTAACAGGTTGTACAACATGTAATAAACCAGTTGCAATGGCAATCTGGAATGGAACAAACATAGAAATACCATTTGGTAATCAAACATAGCCTCCACTTATATACATATACGTAATTATATATATATATATTGATTTTCTATGATGATGAGATTCTTAGAGGGTACAATCCAAAGCTTGTGTAAGTTACATGAGCAGGTTAAAAGTGTTTTTTTACACATTTTTGTAAGCCTGTTTCTTAGTTCCTGACCATTTAGCCAACTCGATGTTGCTTAAGCAATATTGATGACACATTGGATGGTTTCTAATCCTCAAAATGAGGATCACTCAGTGGTGTCACTTCACTACTGATTGTTTATCATGGTTCCATCTATGCCCATAAAAATGATGAATTAACAATCTCCGTAATCTCCTGCGGTAATGAAATCTTCCGCAGGTCTAGAGACAAACCCAAACTGATTTAGACATAGAATGAAGCAAGAGTTGGAACACTCACCCACATAGATTATCAAAATCCGGTCAATGTGTATGTCCAATTATTGATCTGTATGTTCAACCAAAAGCAATTGTAAAATCAATGTACATATAAATTCAACATAAGCTATGGAAGCCATGGCCCATTGATGATGTAACCTCATATTCAGCTATACGTCCATCTATTGATGATTTAAAATCATATCAACCTATATTAACATTTTATAACATATATCATATAAACATGGTGACGTTCATGGATTTTCCATAAAAGAAAATGGTGATTTTCATTAATTTTGCATAATAAAATTGTGATTTTCCATACCTTCATTGACCCTTTTTTTCCGAGGCCGTCCTCCGAGTTTTTGGGCACAGCCACCTCCAGAGGGCCCTTGGTACCATGTCCAGGCACCGTTGGGTACGGTAACCTTGGATACCTTGGCGATTTCGGGCCAATGGTTTAAAATAGCAATAGCAAGTGGCTGATATAACAGAAACATACAAAAACTATAATAGTTAATATGTATGTTGATATATATATATATATATGGTAATGATAGTGGTTGATGATAATAATAGCAATAATGTGGGCAAAACAATGCCATAAACCACCCATGACTGGGAATGGTTGACATACCACCTATAAAAATGGTGATTTTGGGGGTGTTAATGATATAGTGGTTGATATAGTGGTTAATACTATCTAATAGTGGTTGATATAGTGGTTAATCTAGAAGCGAAAATTATATATATAGATTGTTAATAATAGGTGGTCAATGAGTGTTGATGATGGACAATCTATTAGTAGTGATAGTGGTTGATATAGCGGTTAATGATGGTGAATAGCTAATATAGTGGTTAATAATGGTTAAGAATGGCTAACAATAGTAATGATAGTGGTTGATATAGCGGAAACAATAATAACTATAGATGGTGAATATAGTGGTTAATGATGGTTACAATGGACCAATTCTTGAGGTGCGGAATAAATTCAAACCATGATGATTAACATTGATTGAAATGGATTTCGACATGCTGTCTATGGGTTTGAAGTGTGGAATACGCAATTCCAATAACATTTTTTTTTTGCGACAGAACATGTGTGTTTTTCACGACGCACCAAAGGTTCTGTTTGTTTTCCAGAAAAGAAGATACCTTTCTATAAGCAACAAACAACATGGTGGTTGATTCAACGAAACTCTTCACAATGCTGACTTCTCCAAGCTAGAAACCTCTGATCTTCAGTATGATCACTGCGTATACAGTCTTTTTCCCTTGGGGCATCTGATGTAGAACGGACATTCTAAAAGATGATGAAACACACGTGTGCTGCCAGTATTGGAATGTTTTTTTCACTCGAAAATTGTAAACAGGTGTCCCAACTCCAGATGTCAACCATGTTCCTTTTCATGTGCGATCCGTAGTTGTTGCTGGCATGCAACCATCCCTTCCAAAAGTTGATTTGAAGGGAAAAGTGATATAAAAAGAAAAACACATTTTGGCGTCCCCCCAATATTAAATGCCCCCTTCTGGTCCCCTATTTTATGCATGGATCCAATAGTAAGTCAGGGTTTCCAGCCACAAACGTTCAAGAAAATGGGCCATCTTCATGATCCATTTTGCCGAAAGTGTTAGCTTACTGGAGAGTATTACTAAGAGTATCACTAGTCCAGTTTTGTTGCTGAAATTCCACTAATCCCATGAAATCCCATGCAATTTAGAGGATGAAACCCATGGTCGAATAATCCGAACTTCGCAGAACGACCAGCCATGGAAGCCTGCGGCGATGCGTTGTTTGGAGTCCTGGAGTGAGCTTTCGAATGCGTACTGCGGGGTGCATTTGGCTGGGTACCAGGTGCATCCCAGGAATCATAAAGGCTTCAGAACCTACATTGATAACCCATGCTTTGAGAGTATAACCCACACTTGGAGCATCATTGATGAACTGTATATAACCTAATTTGGGATGATTATAGCAGCGTATTTAGAGGAGATGGACATCCATGTGTAATCATCTTCCTATTTGGACATCATAACGAGAGGGGATGATTCAACCAATCTGGGCCCATGTATGGATCAAAATCTATGAAATGCATTAAAATGCGACATAATATATATATATATACATATGTATAGATGTGATAAACATCCATCCACCAGATTCACCTTGCGTGCTATTCAGCAGGGGATTCCTTGGTCCGGCAACGGTCAGCATATGTCGAGACGGCTGACCTGTTTTCCAGAGCTGTTCAAAGTTGGGAGCGTCTCGAACAAATTTGACCAGTTCGAATTTTGAAAAAAATCAAGCATCATTTTTACAGATCTCAGTGTTGAATCGTTTGACATCTTTTGACCATTTTTGACCCATAGCCGCCGTCCAGAAAGGCTTCGAAAAAGTGGAGCCCGGTCACAGCAGTTCAACCGGTGAAACGCTTAGGTTTTGGCTTTGCTGGCGGGAACTTCCAGGTGGGGGCTCAGTGGGATGTTTTTTTTTTCATGCCGCAGGTCAGGTACCTTCAGTTTGGGTGTGAATAGGGAGTGGAAAAGATCCCTTATCTGATTGGTGGTTTCAAACATGTTCTATTTTCCATAACGTATGGGATAATCCTTCCCATTGACGAACTCATATTTTTCAAGATGGTTCAAACCACCAACCAGTTATGTTTGTTGCTGTTTCATACTCATTGAACAGCTGCCTCATAAGCCAGCTACGAATCATCTGGGCGTATTGCGTATGCGTATTGCCGTCGTTAGATCCGAGTATGCCCAAACATGAGGTATTACGAAGCGAACATTGCTGCTTGGTGGTTTTTTGCACATGAATGGATTATTTCCCATAATATATGAGAATGTCATCATCCCAAGTGACTCATATTTTTCAGAGGGCTAGGGCTCAACCACCCAGATTGGATTGTTCCAAGATTCCCATGTCACATCCTCTTGGAGGTTACCTCGAATGGCTGGTGCTTTGGTGTTTCTGTTGGGAAGTTCAACAAGGGAATTGACACTTGCCCTCTGGTAATTTAATATAGCTATTGAAAATTGCCATAGAAATAGTTGATTTTCCATAGTTATGTAAACGTTTACCAGAGGGTAAGTGGTCAATAGCGCTATCATTCCTGGGCCTTTCTTCAATGGGAGTGTAGAGACTTAGCATTTTTTGTCCACATGACTCCTGGTATGTTCATTCCACTGCCGGGTTGCGCAAAATTTAGGTACTTCTTGCAGTGGAATTTCGCGGTCGTGGGGACCCCCAAGTTGCAGGATGTTTCAGGCTTCAGGACACAGAGCCTGATCGGGGCCTTACTTGGAGGTTCGCACGAACAAACGGGAAAGCTCGGTACTAAAAATGTGCGTAGCACACAGAAGACTGGGACCACAAGCGAAAAACAGGCATCAAACATGGTGAAATTCAGCCAGCACTGGATTCTCATCAGCAAAATTGAAAAGATATGGTCGCTGAAAGCTGTGTGTCTACCCAGTGTACAATTGACTGGTTGGTGGTTTGGAACATGAATTTTATTTTTCCATATATTGGGAAGAATAATCCCAACTGACTGTCTGACTAATATTTTTCAGAGGGGTTGAAACCACCAACCAGGTTTTGTGTTAGTATGAATCCCATACATTCCGAGCAGGATCTTTGGATGTTGGGAGAAGTGATTGATTCTTGTGTCCCAGGACGTGTTTTTTCATTGTCCAGTGATACCTTCAAAGTCTTTTACATTGCGCATGCAGATGATATTATATGATATTATACCGAAACATGTAAACACTTTCAATGTAAGGGTGGGGTGGTTTTTGCTGTCTTCTCTGCTAAAGAGATCACAATGGTGGTGTCAAGTTTCTCTGATGATTTACATTCCAATAGAGTATCCTAAAATATCATGGGTGGTCACATTTTTCTTGGTTTGGATATGCCATTGCATCCTTCCATTTGTGAAACAAACCCATTATAAATGTATGTCATATGATACAATAATATCATATGAATTTATATATATACACATACATATAAATATTATCATAGTACGCTGGCACTGTGTATATCCCACGAATTCCCACGTTATCCTCACGTGGTGAACCATCCACCTGGGGTAAGGCACCAGCTATGCGCAGCGAGAGCGCAGGTTCCGAGCTTGATCAACAGGGTTTTCATCATCAAAATATAGAGATATCATTGATATTTAGTTGATATATATTGATATTTATGATGTTTGGTTGATGATTTTTACGGGATTATATTGGATTTTAATCATTGAAATCTAAGATAAGGAACTGATAAATTGTGTTTGATTGATGATTAGTTTGAAGGATTATACTCACAAATATATTGGCCATTATCATAATTTATTTGAGGAATCCCTCTTAAGCAACCAGTATAATGAAACGACAGTGACAGAAAGTTTTGAACACTGCTCACGAAGGATCATCATGCCAGGTAGGATAGATCATAGAAACTATTTGGATGTGAAAATGGGCTACTGTACCCCACCATTCATTAGGCAAATCCTCATTTTTTCCTATTGTTTGATGGCCATAGACTCGGGGTATTTTCTAGACAGAGTGACTTGATCAATGGTGGTGTGAACAGAACACAGAGAGATAGAACAACAGATAGGCGCAGTGAAGACCAATCACAGACATGTTATCAACAATTGGTATGCGACATTATGCGAGCCTATGGTCATGGACTCATGGATTTCAAAATCCAAGTGGGAGCGCAGATGAGGTGTGCAGAATCAGTTGCTGACTACCCACACCCAATTTGGTATGAGGATCGGAAAGAATAAACCAGCAGGACAATTTGAAGTACTGTACATAGATGGAAGATGATGGAAGGATGTAAGTATGTTTCAAAATCAGTCGGAAGGAAAAAACCGAGTCCTCAATTGGAGGTACCTAACCTATGCATTACCTATGCAAGGTCTATGCAGTGACTTTTTAAGGAAACATTCCCCACATGCCCTTTCCTGGGGCAGTACCTAATTTCGGACACCTGACTGCGCCACTGAGTACCTGAATGACTTACTTTGAGTGACTACTGTGAAAATCTGTGAAAGGTATTTCTCGCAATGCTTTACAGCTTGGAGAACATGGTTAGTAGAAGTTGGTCATTTTATGATTTTATGACGTCCATGTCTTCACTTCGCCAGTGCCCCGGCGATGTAGGGTGGGGCCTCAGTCGTTGTAATTAATCGCTCCAAGAACTGTGGTTTTTGTATGAGGGATATAACAATAGTTAAAGGTGATGTTAAACCAACTGATGACTGGGGTCACTACCCTGAATCATGTTGTATACATTTTTTGAAGATCATTTTGAATCAGAACCACCAAGTTTGCCTAAAACAGCTGCATCTTCTTTGCGGAGAACCTCCGCTGTTGTCTTTCGTTGGGGACATCGAAATAAACTTCAGGGCTACGAAATCATCAACACAATCAATCAGTGAGAATCAGTGGCAATTTCAGGAACCTAAATTAGAGATACCTACTGGTACCATCTAGTACCACAAATAAGGTTCATATAAATCTATACAAAGGTTCCATATATATATGTATACACAAAATCCATATGAATCTATATAAAGGTTCCACATATATATATATATATACATACACAAATCTTCTTTATATCCATTAAGGATACCTACTGGACGCATTATAAAGCCTCGGCTTTTTCCCAGATCCTGTGCGCACAGGTACAGCCGTAGAGGAGAAGCCCAGGTCAAAAAGGCGCCCGGAAAATTCATGCAGACCATGGAGACCATGAAACAGCTGCGAGATGAAGATGGAGACCATGATTTATTTTTCCATGGAAATTCCCAACCCTATGGATCCATGGCCACTGTCTGAGAAGGTACGGCTAACCCTCCAAATTATAGTAAATTATACCCCAGTCCCACTTCCTGAGAAGGTACTTGGATCCATAGGGCAAAGGCAAACATGATAAGAATGTGTTTTTTTTTTGGGATGTATGATATGTTTGGGCTGACTGACTTTTTGGTACTGTGGGATTCAGCATGAGCCCAGAGTTCGTTGAACCTCAAGTCATCATTGGCTGTCCCCCAGCTGCGAAATGTGGGTGTCATTTCACGGTGGTATCCAGTGTTGTTTTAAATATGTTGAAATATCATGCTAGGTTGATATTCAGACATATTCAGAATCAATTCTCCAATTCAGATGGTATATGATGGTATCAATGCATGTTTTTGACTGAGATTCTCATGATATTATGTGGTATTCACTATATGATGGTATTCAGATGGTATATAATGGTATATGTTTTGATCATTTGATCCCCCTTTTCCATGGCTTCAACATTTACCAGGAAGACTGAGGAGGAGGAGTTCAAAGACCGGCTGAAGGAGATCGAATCTGATGTATGTTGATGAATGGATCCAAAGATGGGAAGAATGGGATTGGTGAATTCTAGGAGTGTTCGATGGGGGTTTCAAGCTTTGTGTTCGATGGTGTTCAAGCCTGGGATGATGATCCCAACTCTCTCCCTCTCTCTCTCTATATATAGATATATAATTATATAGAGAGTATACATATTAAGTATGCGTATATATATATATTATAGACATAGTTTGTATGTATATATATATAATATTGTTATATATATATATATCATAACTTGATATTGCATTATTCTATCTATACATATATTTATATATTATTGCAAGGCCTAAGAAGATAGAACATTCATTTACCATACTTTAGTCATATAATAAACCCCAACGGGATAGATAGAACCAGTAATTTACAAAACCCACCGTATGATGCTACTTTTTGATCTTTTTTGTAGGTTGCCCAAAAATACCCTCCGGTGCCATCAAGCATGGCAATTGGTTCAATCCCAACGGAGGTGTCATTGGGAATATCAACTATAAAATCATCAATATGCTCATTAAAACCTCCATTTATAGATGATGATTTTATAAAATGATGACGTTATATCCAGTTATGAAATCATCAACTATTAAAACCTCCATTTATAGATGATGTTCAGCGATTTTCCCATTCAAAAGCTATATAAAAATGGGGGAATTTCCACGGATTTCCACGGAATTTTTCCTATGGTTTTCCCATTCGCATGGGATTTCCAACACGCCATACTTGATGACACTGGTTCTACCCTCTGGTAAACGTTTTCATTCAACTATGGAAACAATATCCATGCTATCAATGGGAAAATCCACTATACCCTCTGGTAATTTGTTACATTGCTATTGAAAATGCCCATTTATAGTGGATTTTCCCATTCAAAATGGTGGATCTTTCCAGTTCGTTATGTAAACGTTTACCAGATGGTTTCAATGGCCATTTTCAATCGCTTTTTGTATGTTTACCCGGCCGGGTATGTCTGGCGAAAGTTGTTTTTTTTTTTACGCGGCGAAAGGAGATGAATATCACCCTGGAAGAATCCACTGGTGAGTGCTGCCCTAAGGGGGAAACCATCATGGAACAAGCACCAAAGATCAATGGATGTAACATGCATGTCTCAAAAAGCAAAATTGAATGTTTAATGATGTTTAATGATGTGAAAACAATGATGTAATATATGCATGTCAACAAACCAGCAAACATAGGAATGTTTTGTACATCAACTGCTTGATTTAATGTGGATTACTGGAACATACGATCACCCATAGCCCATAGGAATAGGTATACAGTAATATATATATATATATATACTAACCATCCAGTACACTGGGATGGGAAAACGGTTTGTCACTTTCATGGCTCAATTGGACGCGGGTGGAGCAATGAGATTCCATGGGGCCCAAACCATACACTGCATGCGCTTGAGTCTGAAAATTGGATGCCCCAAAGATTTTGAGGTTTGATCTTTTACTTATATACTGGTGCTAAACGTAGGGAATGGATGGGTTGCTGGGGGTTGCTGGGATGATTATTACTAGTGATTATGGATCATTCCCTCAAATTCCCTGCGTAAAACGCACCAGTAAGTTTACCCAGCTGAAATCTCCATGTCACAGTGGTGTGTTTTTGGACAAAGTCGCCATCGCAAATTTTGGACAGATCCGCCAACGTTTGGCGCACTGCTGAGTCCCTTTGACATCGTGCCCGGAACTACTCACGGTCTGCCCTACGTGACCTGCTTCGCGCGGAAACCCGGAATCCCTTTTTGGGACCATGGTGGAGGCTTTTGTGAAAGGATCTACCCTCTGGATCCCTGTGGTAACAATTTCTTCTAGAAAATCCTCATAAATGATCATAGAGGATAATCAACAATAAAATAGACCATTTATATCATTTATGATGTTTTACCATCATTGATCATAAATCTTCATAAATCATCAATTGTTTGAAGAACTTTGATAGGTAAATCATCATAATGGTCTATACATTTGCAATTGTCCATAGATATGTTAAACAACCAGAAGGTATACACTTGAAAAATCTTGAAGCGCCGCCCAAGTTTTCAAACGTGGATTTGGAAAAGGTTTCAATTTAGATTCTTGTTGAGGGAATCTCAGTTTCTTGGATGTGTTGGAGTTTGCCCAGGTATTTTCACTGTGTCACGTATCCCTTTTCCCGTTGGAAAAACCGGTGGTGTTGCTGATTTCTTTGTCCCAGCTGATCCCAGTTGTATCGAAAAAGTGCCATTCAGGAACATCGCACCAGTTGCACAAAAACAAATCACAAAAGATCATCATTGGTGAATAATCATTGGAATATTCAGTGGTGAATGTCGTGGAAAAAAATGTGGCAGTGTGTCAAAACCAATAGTACCCCTGTAATTCACATCAAAATAGCTGGGATTTATGGATGTTCATGTCCCCTAAAAATGGTATTAATAGGTATTGACCCACACCCATGTGTGTTCACCACCCATGTTTTTTTTCCAATGTTTTTTTTTGGCATGTTCGTTGGATGTTTTTGGAGCTCTGTGGATGGGATGATGTCGTGCGATCTGTCGTGAGTCCATGTGAGTCCGATGCTCAACGCGTTGAGGTTGAATACACAGACAGGAGTCAACGTGATGAGTACGGTACAGTGGAGGCCGTGATACATATGACACCTGCTGGTTGTGGTTGTGGCTGATCCTTGCACTTTATCACCCAAGAAATGATGTTGATTTCAATATGGTTTATTGATACTTTGAGAATCAACGTATAGGCGTATAGGTCTTGGGTTCTATCCACACTTGGGCTGGTTATTCCAATTATAGTCAAATTTATTGGGCTGGGGTGAGCTAAAAAAAACATCCAGGATTTCTCCGCCAGACTCGCTCTCCTTCGACCACTTGGCTCCCGGATGTTGGAGAGCGATTGGCTGATGAGGATTTTCTGTAAGGAAATCGCTGGGATGAAACATATGAAACCAGTTGGTACAAGCCTATACAACTATCAGTAACTATCAATTGCCAAGTATTTGAAAACTGGGAGTCAACTGGCTTTATGACCAGCTTGTTGAATCCCCAGCTACATGGCATATTTATGCTATTTTATGCTTCATAACAAGGAGTCGACCATCATGGAAACCTTCCTAAACCTCGCTTCTCTCATGTTGCTATCCCCATAGCTTCAGGCAACCTATGGTTGCACCCCACTGACTTCGGCAGGCGAAGGATGTGTTGGAAGAGTGGGTCCGGAATTCCCAGCAGCCTCCGTTTTTTTTTTTTTCGAAGGCCGAGGGTGCCTACGACGGACGTCGCAAATGAGACAAAGTATCAATGAGGTGACCATCCCCGTTGCTCTGGTGTAGATATTTCTAGATACAGTACATGTGATATACGATGCACCTTTGCACACGTGCGTAACCGCAGGGCAATGAAAGGCTAATCTAGTCTATGGATCATATAAACATCATTAAACATCTAAGATCATAAGTAGACTTGGTAAAGGTGCTTTAGGGGGAGACTGTTACTTTTGAAGGCGGTCGGAGTCATTTTCCCCAAGTATCCTACATTGGCTTTTCACAGAAACCAGGGGGACCCATTTGGGGTTTCACACCGCAGGGTTTCAGCAGTAGGTGATGAGAGGTGACGACCACACGGTGTGGGGCCCTGTTTCCCTGCTTGAGATCGGCGCCGGGCCGTGGCCCTCAAGGTATCCAGAATGTGTTTCACAGATAGAAAGAGAACCAACTTGGAATATGAAGATCAACCTGATATGTTATCAACCTGATATGTTTGTTATATTCCAGTTATATTTTATTTGATATAACAAAGTATAACCTGTATCTTAAATTTGTTATGTATATATATATATATTTGCCCTCTGGTAAACGTTTACGTAACTATGGAACATCACCATATTTTCCAGAGGATATCTGATCTGTTTGCCATCATGGCCATGGTTGATGGTGTCACTTTCAGCGCTGATCCTAGTACAGGTATTTTACAAAATGTTAGTAAAGCATAGTATACAGCAATAATGAAGCACTCATATATTTTTATGGTTTATACCATCCATAAAAATGCAACATTTGGATGGTGGATCCTGTTGCTTTACTATCATTAGAGCTGTAAATGAGGGATTTGTTGCCAGGTTAGATCACTTAGACTTTGGCAGCTCACCGGGCGTAGCTGATCAAGTTCTGATCTGCACGGTAAAATGACTGGACGACTGGAGGGGCGACTGTAGGGTGCTACACCACAGATAAAAAAGGATCATAGGTAGATGTGAATCGTAAGTGGTTCATAGCTTGTGTTTAATCTCATAAAAGCCATTCTGATTGAACATGGGATAGTCCATGAATTTGACTGGGGCACATTCTGATTCTTACCCACTACAATGATACCTGGGACGTGCGGCTGTCTGAAACTGGGGGGATACCTCCACCCGAAATGGACAGAAAGGTTGAACACCTGGAAACGGGGAAATATTATCGAGCTCACATCCTGGAAAGAAGTGTTTGTTATTTTTTTTGGGACCCATGTAGCTAAACAGAAAAGGTATCTTACTCCAAGTGTTTTGTTATATATTTCAACCCATTCTTGCAGATGCAAGGTACACTCTGGGGACATAAACGGCAAACAGGAAAAAATATCGACAATGTGCCTAGCACAGCAATAGCTTCTTGTATTGTGATGTATACTGTATTATCGATCACCCCAAACAAGAAAATGCAATTGCCCCGCTCGGCAGGGTCATCTGTTGCGGCTTTAAAGATGTCGTCAGAAGACCCACCAGATCTGGCCAATTGCATCAAAAACCAAAGATCCTTGACCTTAAAAAGCAGCCACGCACCCAATTCTTGAAGTAACGTACCTAAATTATCTAATTATAGTTCTAATTATTAAACCAACATCGTGGGGTAGCACACCAATTTTATCCGAACTTTTATCCCATTTTTCTTGAGACCTGAGGTCGGAAGCTTCACCTCTTGGCGACAGAGCCAGGTGGGATGCCGCTGTTGCGCTGTTGCCAGTGGAGTTGTTCGGAAAGCGGCTGCCGGAGCCCATCGTGTTTTTTTTGGGGTTTTAACAGAGTTTAACCATGGTTTTTCAGCAAGAATTTCATGGAGTCAACTTGAGTCAACATAATATGTCTTCGTCAAAAACAGAAACAACATGCTAACGGATCGACCCCTTTTTTGTTGTTTTTTAGGTTGGTTAACCATGAAAATCTTGCAAACCTTGTTATTTAAGCAGCAAAAATGATGGACTTGAGGGTTTCTGAAGCTGGTGAAAAACAGTCCGGGAGTGAAGCTGATCAGCTGATCATCAGTGGAAACCAACGGTTTTCAAAGGGGTATAGTGAGACATGACATTTAGATATTGCTATCGTATAGTCAAATGTGGGGGCTGAAGCAATAAAAAAAGATGCTTATATAAACAACAGATGTGGGTTTGACCAGCATATATGTTTATTTCTGGCAGCCAAGCTTCAAAATCACCATGGATGCGATTGGAATCATGAAACATGGAGTCATGGGTGTACCCCAAATCATCCAAAATTATCCAAAATTAGACTATCTCAGTATTGAAAGCCATGGTGACTTGGGGATCCCCCATTTTAAGAAAGCACCGTATCGCCGTATGACCAAACACTGTTGCCCCATGGACCTTAGATTTTCTTCGGTTAGCTATCCTAAGTTTTCGCCACCACCTGCAGTGTCCAGCGTCTAACTTTCAAGGAGCCTTGGTCCAAGGCCCCAACCTCGGCCCCTTTTTTCGTACAGCTAGTGATTCTCTACCAGCCACATGCTACGAAGGATGCCGAAATCTTTAGTTTTTGCCAGGGGAAAATCATTTGTGCCTGGTAGTTGATGCCGATTCGGAGTGCCAATAACCATTGGACACCTGGCTTCTCACGGAAGAGTGGATGGTTTTCATATCCCCATGTAACATCATCCAAATATGCTTCAGAAGATACACGCCTAAATAAAGTAATGTGGATGGAAGAAATATGAAGCAATGCTGCGCTACTTGCTAGATGGTTTACCCTTTGGTGAACTAACATAGCTATTGAAAATGACCATAGAAATAGTGGATGTACCCATTAATAGCATGGTGATTTTCCAGTTCGTTACGTAAACGTTTACCAGGCCGGGTATCCATGTGTATCCAATTCTACTACAATGTGGGGCCCCCAAGATAGCTAAGTTGGTTTATAACCCAATCTAACTATAGTTATAACATGTTATAACTACCATAAACCCTAGTTATTACCATAAACCCTAGTTGTTGTAGTTATGTTCACCAACTTATCTATCTAACGGGGGCCCCACTTTGTAGAGGCTTTCGGTACATGTCATGGTTGCCATCGGACTGCCATCGGACTGCCATCGTCAGGCGAGCACCGCATCACTTCAATGCGTACAGACGAGCTCGCAGTCCTTAGTGGGCCAGCTGCACTTGGACCTGGATGACGTTTGGGATGGCTGCGACCATAGGTTGAATAGGCTGGATTTATAGTGTTTATGGTGATTTAATGGGTTTTAATGGGATTTAATGGTGATTTAATAGATTTACCCGGCCTGGTAAACATAGAAAAAGCTATTGAACATTGCGAAATTGCTGATTTACCTGGTAAAAATGGTGATTTTCCAGTTCGCTATGTAAACGTTTACCAGAGGGTATAGTGTTTAAGAATTGATAAGTGATGTATGAGTTGATGAATGCTAAGTTGGTGCATCACCAGATTATATAATGTGGTGAACCGCCATTGCCACCATCCCCAAGGTTGATGAAATTGGGTCCCGTTCTGATTTGAAATGACTCCCAGTCATGGTAAATGGGATGATATGTGGAAGTGGGTGTACCTCATCAGCTGAACAACTAAGATTGGTCATGAGTTAAATGAGTTGGTGATAACGGTGTACCATGGTGTACCAAATCTGGAGGCCTTTTTTTTTGGGACTCCAACTGGTTTTTTTGACACGGTAATTTTGTCTTCACATTCTTTCGGAGTCATTTTCTTAGGTAGTCAATACATTGCTGTTGCATGGAAGATTCACAGGAAACAAGTGGTGCACTACCCGTGTTGTATCCCTAGGTTTGCTTGGGAATGGCTATTGTTTTGGAGTAATTACATATTTTCTAGAAAGTATTTGGATGTGTTTTGAACACAGACATATTCAGAAAACATGGGTCTCTTAAAACTATCATAGGTTATCCATGGTTCACCATGGGTATCCATGGTCTGGCCATGTTGAATCCACGTTTTTCATCGCCGCCAAGGATGACACCACCTGCATTGAGCCTGGAGTCTCAGTGAGGGTATCGCGTATCATTCCAGGGTATCATTGGTTTTTGATGACCAGTATATTAACCAATAACCATTGGTATAATGGCTAATGTATAATTATTTTACTGGTATAACCAATAATATAGCCAGTATATTAGTATACCATTGGTTATATATATATACTTTGTATAATGGCTAATATACTGGTTAATAGTGGTTAATATAATGGTTATATACTGGTTATATAATGGTTATATAATGATGGTTAATACAATGGCTGGTTGGTGGTTTGGAACATGGCTTTTATTTTTCCATGATATACGGGATGTCATCCTTCCCATTGACTTTCATATTTTTCAGAGGGGTTGAAACCACCAACCAGTAATAATGGTGAATATTGCTTCATTATTAATTATAGTTGGTAGTGGTTAGTGAATGTTAATGATAGTTATTACATATTATATAATGATAAGTAAATATGATGAATGATAATTATATAAATATTGTTAATGATGGTTAATAATGGTTAATAATGTTAATAATGTTCAATCATGCGTAATGATGGTTATAATGATGATAATGTTAGGATTTCGATGGCCATGGTGATATTTTATGGGTTGTCTCTCTTTACTAAATGGCTTCCTACATCAGTTTTCATAGCCATGAAGCTTAACCTCTAGCAGCTCTAGCAGGTCACAAACTCGATCTAACCCGCAACTTGTTTGTTTGGGTCATGTCATTACAGCACTCGACCCGCAATCTGCTGGCCTTTTTCTGGGGCTAAATACGTAGGGAATGGATGGGTTGCTGGGGGTTGCTGGGATGATTATTGATAGTTAGCCAGTGGATCATTCCCGAAAATTTTCTGCGTTTAGCACCATGCTAAGCACCAGTAAGTTTTTTGTTTCAAACATTTTTGTGTGTGGGGTGATCAAGCTCAGCCTTAGCCGTGGCGAATGAAACATTGCAAGTCAGATGGCCTGTCACACAGGGTGATCATGCTGATCCGCCATGGCTATCTGTCAACAAAAGGTGTTCATCCACTAGTGTTCATCCCTGGGGTCGTGATCAACAGGTGTTTGCTGGTCTTGTTGGCGGTTGACTGTCACCATTTGATCATTTGAATATCATTGATCCACCGCCTTTTTTGATTGAAAAAAGTCACCTCGGCGACTCGGGTCCGGGTTGGCTGAGGTGCGTCTCAGCCTCCAACGCCTTCGCTATGGGTGATGTTTCTCGATGATCCTGGACCCCAAAAAGATGATGATATGATGGAGTGTTGGGACATGGCCATGGCAACACTGTTTTGCGGCGACTTGGGAGTCATGATTTTTGCCTGTTGACTTCAAGATGTTTGAATCATTTTTCACTGTTTCATTCAAGTGTCTTTATTCTCAAAGATGGGATGCTACTTGATGCATTTCTTATGTTCTAGGGTATGGAAACCTCCCAAAACTCTTGCCTTTCACCAGAATTGTAAAAGAAAAATCCAGGCCGTTTCAGCTGCATGGACGCCGCATCGTCTTTTTTGTTGGAGGAGTTGAATGGTATCGGTATATGTATTATGTATTACTAATGACTAATGGTTACTTATAAGTGAATGGTTGATAAATGCTTCTTATATATGTATTACATTGTATTACTAATATACATTATACTAATAAAATCTCATAAACGACTATGGTTACTTTTTTTTAGCTGTGCCAATGACACGACCCATTTTATTCATGGTCGGTCGGAATCGAATTGGTCTCCGACCGACGCGTGGGCGCCTGATTTTTTCCCATGACGGATCCGGCTGGTGCTGGTAGAAAAATGCTAACATGACTGCGGTATATTGATGGGATCCATGGCACAACATATATAACATATATACATGGATCCTAGACCTGAAATCGCCCAAGTTGGTGAAGTTGGTGAATTGTCGAAGTGGATCGAGAACGAATCAACACGCCTGACCTTTGGTTTAATCCCCATGTTGCTGAAATCGCTTCATTGAATACCCTCACTTCAACAACTTCTATTAACTTCCATCAACTTCCTTTATCATTTCATGACTGGTTGGTGGTTTGGAACCTTATACATGTTACATATATATATATATTTCCATATATTGGGAATGTCATCATCCCATTTGACTTTCATATTTTTCAGGGGGGCTGGCTCAACCAGATATAACCAGATTATTATTAACCATCATTAACCATATTATTACAATCATCATTAACAGTATATTAATCATTATTACCCTCTGGTAAATTAACATAGACCCTGGCAGTCATCGGGGTTGGAAGACTAGTTTCCATTAACAATGGGTGATAAAATCAGGGACCAACTGTTTATTTACCAGAGGCTAACCATTGTTAAGCCATGATTGGGTAGGCTCAACCAGATATTAAAAATTATTAACCATTGTTAAGCCAGATATTAACCATTATTAACCATTATTAACCATTATTAACCATTGTTAACAGTATAATAACCATATCAACCACCAGATCATCATTTCTCAAAGAAACCCAGCGGTGCCTCACACAAATTCAGGTGCCGGGCGGAATCGTAGGCACCGTCCATGAAAGCTCTGTCGCTTGGCCGCCACGGGTATAACGGTAGTAGAGATCGGTAGAGTAGGCATGAAACAGAGATCATAGCCATAGATAGGATATATACATAGGTTACAGATAAGTAGATATAGGTTATACACCTATGGTATTTGTATGTATTTATAATATCATAGAATAGTAGGATATAATAGGTTAGTATAGATGGCATAGAGGCATAGATGGTATAGATGCTTGTACACCATCATTGCCAGGCTTTCAATTTTTCGGCATCTCGTTTTGGAGCTTGCCATATAGCTTAATACTCGAATATTCCCATCCGCGGAGTCTACTTTGAGAGCGTTTACTTTTTGCCATTTTGGTTGTTGACGAAAAAATGTGAATCCAACCAGGCAAAACACTTGGGATTCAACCAACCCCGCAGCCCATAACACATATATATATATATACACATCATATTATACTTATATATATATATCATATAGATATGTATATATATATATATATGGATATGGATATAGATATAGATATATACATTCATATACTGTAATCGTATACATAGAAATACATATACATACATAGGTGGTTTATAAGTTGCTATAGGTGAATTCCGATATTTCAGGTCACCCCCAATGACGTGTTCTAAGCACACGTACCCGGCCGCGTCGGAGGCACATCAAGGGTGGTTACTCTCTGGTAAACAAACATAACTATATAGTTTAATGGGATTTAATGGTGGCTTAATGGTGGTTTAATGGGATTTAATGGGGTTTAATGGGAGTTACCCGGCCTGGTAAATCACCATGCTATGAATGGGTAAATCAACGATTTCGACTGGGCCATTTTCAATAGCCTGTAACAGTCATTACCAGAGGGTATCCTAAGGTTATGACCTTCAGTGGTTTGGGCTTGCACAGCCTCTTGGCGGAAGCTGGGAGACTGTGGCTTTGGGTACCGATGGGTTGGGGGTCGATGGGACGATGGGTGCAACAAAAATCTGGTGGTTTTAACCTTAAATGAGCCATGTCTAACCTATAACTGGTTGGTGGTTTGGAACATGGCTTTTATGTTTCCATTCAGTTGGGAATTTCATAATCCCAACTGACGAACTCATATTTTTTTAGAGGGGTTGAAACCACCAACCAGTATAACCAATTGATGATGAGTTTCTGTTGGTTGAAATATATATATATATGTATTTACCATGGATATATCTACAATTACGTAGATCGGTTTATGAACCAAGAGAGAAGACTGGGGGACTGTTTCCTGTCCAACTTGTACCCATGCAGCTAGACAGGCAATGGTTGGATGATGAGCTCCTACACAACACGCTTCCTCTGTGCCATTATTTGTCTTTAGATCTGTGAAAGTATCCTGGATATTGCCCCTCTGCAGGGTTTGGATCCTGAGCATTTACAATATAGATATGTATTACATACAAAACCTGTAGCACCAAAACCTGCAGAATTCCATAGGTGCCAAGAAAAACCATCGGGTATGTCCACCAAACCCTAGGAATTTTCCTCGGGTTTTCTCTGGAAAACGGGCCCAGGTTGTGTCATGTCACCTCAGCAGAGGGTCTGCTGATTTTTGTCCCATCAACCTCCATGGTTTGAGAGGGGAATTTCCCAGCTAGCTACGGTTGATTACATACTATATTATACTACTGCTTGGTGTCTTTTTGCACATGAATGGATTATGACTTTCCATGTTGGGAAAGGGTTAGGTATACCACCAATTAATAATGTTTGTTGATTATAAACATGATAAATTCATATAAATTCTATGAACACTATAGTCACTATAGTTCTAAATATATCTAAATTTCATAAACCATAGTGATTGGATTGGTTTGAGGGAAAATAGGAACCGGAAACCATAGATTTTCCCATTAAATATGGGGCTTTCCTGTAGATTTTCCCTTAAACCAATCCATTGACATAGTGAAATTCTCCGTTACCCTCTGGTTATGACTAACATAGCCATGGAAGCCATGGTCCATAGAAATAGATGATTTTCCCAGCTAGAAACCTCCATTTATGGTTGGGATTTTCCATGGCTATGTCAAATAACCAGATGGTATATTAGCGAGTATATATGGGATTTTCCATGGCTTTTATTTTTCCATTCAGTTGGGAATGTCATCATCCCAACTGACGAACTCCATCATTTTCAAGATGGGCACATTGCACCACCAACCAGTTGTAGATCCATTGTTCATGGTTAAATTGGTTAAATCTCCATTTTTCATGGTTAAAACCACCACGTTAGTTGGCTAAAACCACCAACTAGATATTATTACGGAGTGATGTGACCCGCAACTTTCTGAGCGATCGGATCAGCAATCGGATCGGCACCCAGGCTGTCTTTCTTCGACCTTTGGGCGCCCAGGTTGGGGGGTAGATCACCCAGGTATCGCCTATTTTCAGACAATCGCCATTGTTATATATATATATACATATATGTATTATATATATATATATGTTATATATATATGTATTATATATATATATATATGTATATCTTATATATATGTATGTTATATATATATACATATAAATGATGTATATATATATATGTATATTATATATTTGTATATTATATATACGTATGCTATATATATATATATTATATATACATTTATGTATGTTATATTATATTGTATATATATCTATATACATGTTATATATATATATGTATATTGTATATATATATATATTATATGTATGTTATATATATATATATATTGTATATATATATATTACATATATGATATATATATATATATATATGTATATTATATATATATATATGTATGTTATATATATATACATATATATATATATTATATACTTCCATTAGTAACTTGGTATTTTCTCCCCGCAAAAAAAAAGGTATCTTTGGATGGATGATCTATTTCAGAATTGACGTATATTGACGTGGTTAAACAGATCATGAATGCAATGAGTAGTCATCATATGGATGGTCTTGTCATTGAATGGACCAAATTTCAGCAGCCGTTCTATTTCCAAGGTTGAACCCAGAACCAACAAATGGCGAGTTGGTAGTTTGTGTGCGGAAAAGGTATGGAAAACACTCCCTCTGGTAATCAAACGTGGCAATGGAAGAAAGTCCCTATAATTGGAGGTTAGTGCCTTCTCTGGAGCCTACACGCTAATACATGTCAATACGTTGGTACACATTTAATATATACTGTAGTATATCATATACAACTGGTACATTCTATATGATATATGTAATATATGTAACAGGTTATAGACAATGCATCCATCCATATCCATCCATACTTTGCGGTTATTTCAGTTCGCATCACTGGTTGGTGGTTTCAAACATGAATTTTTATTTTCCATAGTATATGGGATGTCATCCTTCCCATTGACGAACTCATATTTTGCAAGATGGTTATTGCACCACCAACCAGATAACTATGGACAGATCCACCATTTTCAATGGATAAATCCACCATTTCAACTGGGCCATGTTCCAAAAATCATGGTTACTCTCGGATTTTCCCTGAAAATCTACAGATGCTCCGCTAGGCTTTTGCAAGTCTGGCATCCTCTCGGTCCCACACTGAGTGCACAGTCCGCCAGTTCCCTTTGCGCACCGACGGCGTGAACAATTCCGGTGGATCCCAGTGCAGCGTCGGCCGAGGAAATCTAGGAAGCGCGTGTAAGGAGACGATTCCATGTTCTGCAAACTGGTGATTTAATGGTGGTTCAATGGTGGTTTAATGGGATATTTTTCTGAACTTCGCCTGGAATTTATATATTGTTCCCTTAATTGAGCTATGGGAAGCGATTCCTAAAGCATTTAATAGTTTTAGCTGTGATCCTTGCGCCAAATGTGTACTGGTACTTTAATTTTCATGGAGACCCTCGATTTTTCATCCCCTCTCTGAGACTTTTAACATCCACAACTTGGGCCGTAAAGGGTACAGTGGGAAAGCCATCTCCATTTAAGGGTGAAGCGAAAAACCACCGTTGTTATTTCTTACCCAGGTGGATTGATCTTGGATGATCTTGGCATATGTTTACCTTTAACAAAACAAAAACACAAACACACACAACATGGACTTTGGGAAATGCAAGGCAATCTCATGTCCATGTCATGTGGATTCACATTCGGTACTGATCTATGTTGTGGTGTCATACAGTAGATCTCGGAAGTCTTCTTCCAACCTAGACAGTGTTCTCAGAGTCGGGGTACGTAAAAACCCTTAAAAACCTATGGTTCTCCTACAGAAATGACAACTGTTCAATTAGTTTGGTGTCTCCCACTTTAAGAAACCCTCAACATCAATCAATGCTATTCATCGGAAAGAGACCCGCAGTCACTGCACTTGGAACGCCTGAGCCATATCTATTTGAGACTTTTTGACCTATGTCACTATGTCCGCATCTAGCGACATCGACGGGCTTGTATACCCATGACTAGTTACCTGCAATGGAGCTCTTATAGCCTGGGCTGAGTCGATTTTCAAGTGTTAGTTGTCTTCCATCCTCAAACAATGAAGCACAATGATCCCTAATTGGAGTTATCAATTATGTTCTTAATGTTCTTTTTGGGTAGTGCATTCAGAAACTTGCAGCTCTTCTTTTTCGAAAAAGTGATGTGGCAAGATGTGACAAGTTCGTTGATCTGGCGACAGATTGCGGTCTTCTTGTGCTTAACAGATTGCGTTGGCGAACGGCCAGCAGTTGGGTGACCACATCCAGCGGATTCCAGCACAAAAACATGACAAACGGACACTACTGTGATCTCCTAGCAGCAGAAAAGATGTGGAGTTCAACTTACCCTCTGGTAAACGTTTACATAACTATGGAACATCACCATGTTTAATGGGAAAACTCACTATAAATGGGCCATTTTCAATAGCTATGTTAAATTACCAGAGGGTAAAAATTGCTGACGTTAATTATTGGTGTTTTAATGGGACATTGCTATTTAAGACGGATACCTCAATTTGGAAGATTCGATTCAATGTCTTCCTGTGTGGCCAGTCCCCAACGCAGCCCGCGATATGATTGTTTCACTTTTTGCGTGTCACAGCACCCCAATTTTCGAGAAATCAATGCCTGATCGCTAACGGCAGCGCTTTGTCTGACGACATCGGGCATGACACAGACTGATCGCTATCCGCAGTGGCATGGATCATGCGGGTCCATTGTTGCAGGGCCAATGACTTTCCAACAATGGCTGTTGATGAGTAGCCTCTGGTAAGTTAAGATAGCAGATAGCCATGGAACACCAGATTTTTTGATAGGTAAATCATCTATAAATGATTATAAATGGTTCATTTTCCATAGCTATAGCTATGTCAACTTACTCAAAGGATCTTATCTGTGGAACTCAGATGAGTTTGAGGCAGTCCAGATTCCAACAAGGTCACTGACTCATGAGCTATTAGCATGTACAGTAGCCATTATTCTCTGGTAAACTAACAATTTTCTATTGAAAGTTGATTTACCCATTAAAAATGGTGATTTTCCATAGTTATGTAAACGTTTACCAGAGGGTATTCTCATGGTTTCTTTGTTCTACGGAAGCCAGGGAATCCGGGCGCGCCTTTCGGCCAGCGCCATCACTGGAAAGTCAGAGTGGTTTTTCCACGTAAAACGACGATCTCTCGAACCGACAGCCTAGCGTGAAAGCCGTCGTCTCAACGTGGGAACACCGTGGCTGCGGTGGAGTGAAGCCACAGCGTGTCCGCTGCAACGGGAGGTCTGGTGGCTAACCCCTACTTGAGAGTGCATCCATAGATGAACCGAGAATAGTCTTTACTTTATCATATATATATATATATATTGTATAATATCACGAATATATATATATACATACATATATATACATACATATATATATAAATACATATATACATACATATATACATACATATATATACACATTACCATTGTGTAAGTTATATAGCATTATATAGTTGTTTTTTAAGTCTATTATCATTACCCACACTCACTTGGCAACTGGGATGCGCATCAATCTGTTGATTTTATGAGATCAGAGAATCTTGAGGTCGCTTTGCAGTTAAAACTTGACTGGAACCAACCTGGTTGGAAAATATTGTTGCAGATGTGGACAGATCTTCCACTCCCTACTCCCTGGGTTAGTCCTTGAGGAATAAAAACGATTTCAGATTTAGTCACAGGTCAGGCGGAGACCCGTTATCCTTCCATTTGTTTTCTTAATATATGATTCAACCCACCAAAAGTGCTGCAAATCTGTCAGTTTTTCTGGCAAATGCTCAGTTTCATCGGACATTCACCCCCCGAAAAATGTGCACTCCGCTGCGCGTTTGAGACTGCAACTCTTGAGTCGTAACTTTGCTGAACTCATGAGGGGTACAGCGAGGTTCGCAACGCCGGATTCGTGCCAAGCGAGAATCCCGGCCGCAGTGGGTTGCCGAGCTGGGGAGTAATCTATACTGAGGTCACGAAATCTCCCACAACAACCAGGGAAGAACATGAAAAACTTGCTGGCAGGCAGGGAATGTCCAGTCACCAATTGTTGCTGACGACAAACCATGGCAGCCATGAATTGTGTCGTACTCCTAAGACTTGGAACCAGCTTCTCTCTTGACTTCTACTGGTTATCCAGATCTTGATGGCATATTTATCATATTTTATATAAGTTGTTTGCTTTTACCTCATCATTATCCATGTGGCAAATCGTGGTACGAGTATCATAAACCCAAGAGCAAACGTTTCCTTTTCAAAGGCTTATAGCCTGAAAATACGCGCACACACACACACACACATCCAGACCTACACACACACACAACAGCCTCAGCAAGGCCACACAAAGCAAATCAGGCCTTTTGGAATCTACCACAAAAGTCAGGTCATATGTGCCCCACTGAAAGCAGTCATGATAGTCATGAGTCAGCCGTAGCCGTTTGGGAATTTGTTGGTAGGACAGCACCATGAACCCTGGGCACTAGGTCGAATGAAGTTCTCAATATGCCGCGGCAAAACCTGTTGTTGCATTGGTATGAATATCATTGAATATCTGTGTCTATCTGTAGATATATATATATATATATCTATAATTATGTATTATAATATTGTATATATATATATATTCATGTGTGTGTCTCAGAGGAGCTGAACTGATATAATGTGTCACATCATCTCCATATGATGTGGCGCATGAAATCGTGGACACCAAAAGGACTAGCGCATGACTTTCCTAGTGTTGCCTTGGTTTAGAATTAACGGCTATGCTGCAGGTGTCTCATGGTCAAATCACCAGTTATGAGTCATATAGCCATGTCAGTATCAATGCACAGCATGTCAAATAACCCTCATATTTCATCATATTTCGACATCTAATCAGATCCTCATCAATTCCCGACACGGTGTGGCCCACAAGCAACACTCTCCATCGCATCGCCAGAGTGCACTATCCCCATTTCTAAACTATTTCTAACAGATGAAAAAGCATAACTAAAACATACTAAAACATATTGTGAGTAGATACCAGTAGTACCGCACAAGGCGGTGGCGGAAGTTTCAGAATAGGAAACCTATAGGAGACGTTGGTTGTTGTGAATCACGGATGGCAGAGCGAATCCACTGATTGACCGAAAAGTGGTTGGAGTTGTGTTTGCTGGAGTGGTTGCAATGGTTGCAGTGGTCACCTCACCCACAACTGCTGGATGTAGTGTGATGTACTGCAACTGTAGTTGTAGTTGTAGCGTAGTGGAGTTGTAGTTGGGGTGTAATGCAATTAGTGTAGTGTAGTTGCAGTCATATAGTTGTAGCTGTAGTTGCTTTGTAGTTGTAGTTGTAGTTGTAGTTGTAGTTGTTGTAGTTGTAGTTGTAGTTGTAGTTGTAGTTGTAGTAGTAGTAGTAGTAGTTGTTGTAGCTGTAGTTGTTGTAGCTGTAGTTGTTGTGTGGTTGTAGTTGTTGTGTAGTGTAGTTGTAGTTGTAGTAGTAGTAGTAGTAGTAGTTGTTGTTGTTGTAGTTGCTGTTGTTGTTGCTGTTGTTGTTGTTGTTGTTGCTGTTGTTGTTGTAGTTGTAGTTCTAGTTGTAGTTCTAGTTGTAGTTGTAGTTGTTGTGTAGTTGTTGTAGTTGTAGTTGTTGTAGTTGTAGTTGTTGTGGTTGGTGTTGGTGTTGTTGTTGTTGTTGCTGTTGTCGTCGAAGTTAGGGTAGTTAAGTTAGTGAAGTTAGTTAAGTTGGTCAAGTTAGTTAAGTTAATCAGTGTCTACTTTTTCGACATCTTCACGTCAAAAAAGGCTCAAAACCCTCAGTTGTTTACACTTTTGACTTTGAAATGTGCTTCGCGCCACAACGGCGTGCACTTTTTCGACACTTTTTCCACATCTGAACCTCCAAAAGTGGTCCGAGAATGGTGTGTTTTGTACATTTTGACTTGGAAATGTGCTTCGCGCCACAACGGCGTGCACTTTTTCGACATCTCAACTTCCAAAAGTGGTCCGAAGCTGAGCCGTTTTGTACATTTTGACTTGGAAATGTGCTTCGCGCCACAACGGCGTGCACTTTTTCGACATCGCAACTTCCAAAAGTGGTCCGACGCTGAGGTTTTTTGTACATTTTGACTTGGAAATGTGCTTCGCGCCACAACGGCGTGCAATTTTTCATCTCTCATCTGGCCAGCTGGCTCCGCACCCGCCGC